CACCGACGAAGACTCAGGCGAGCCCCAGCGAGGGAAGGCGATGTTGTTACCGTTTACTCGCACAGTGCAGTCACCCGTCATCCAGTCGATTCGCGGGTTGTGTCGTCGCAGCCAATCACGCCCGATTAAAATATCGGTTCCATCGAGGGTCGTGGCGAGCATTTCTTGACTAAACGTGAAGTTCCCCCGGCATCGAATACGAAGTCGGTCCATACGTTCCCGTATCGCCAGTGGCGTGCCGTCGACCAGTCTTGCGTCAATCTCAGGTAAGCATCTGTCCAGTGGCAGTCGCAGTTTTCGTGCTGTGGAAGTGTTGATAAGGCTATGGCTGGCCCCTCCGTCTACAAAGATTTTTACTAAGTCCGTCCTGTGAAGAAATGAGGAAGGAAATGAGAGAAGAGGAGAGGGATTCACTAGCAAACATTGGGATACATATAGCAAACCCTAAAAGGGCTGTACTCACTATAGAGTACCCCACTGCAGACTAGAGAAACATAATATTCTGACACACCCCCATAGTCAAAGTGGGGTGTAATCAGCACAACAAGCAAAGCAGAACAAGCTCAGGGTGGATCACAATGTCACCACACATTCTGAGCACAAGTACAAGAAGCAACAGTTTAAAGTTCACAAATGTAAGCAAAGCTAGAGGCTATCGCAGAGGGCAAGTGTGGAGGAGGGACTATGAGAGGAGAGGAGGTAGTGGGCGGCAGCTGAAGCTACTGGCACACGGCGCAACTGGAGCAACTGGCACACGGGCAACTGGAGCAACTGGCACACTAGCAACTGGAGCAACTGGCACACGGGCTACTGGAGTAACTGGCTCCGCGGCTAACTCTGAGCGGCAGGAGCAACGGACTCACGGGCGACTGGAGCAACGGGCTCACGGGCGACTGGCCCAACGGGCTCACGGGCGACTGGCGCAACGCTCTCACGGGCGACTGGAGCTGTGGGCTTCACGGCGGCCACCTCCTTCAACCTCCCCAAACTATCCCACCCCCATTTCACACACCCCCTACTGCACCCCTAGGTTCACTCACACCCCACCCCCTAGCACCACGCCTTTGGCTCCCACACATCCACCCCCCTCAGCGGCAGCTGCAACAGTGGGAGACAAAGGAGGAGGAGGGGAAGGGAAACATACCATCCATCACCCCCATACCCGCCACCCCCATACCCTCCATTCCACGGCTGCACGCGCAGCACGGAGATGAAGAAAGGGGGGGGGGGGGGGGGGGGGGGGGGAGAGCAGCAACGGGCAGCAACGGGCGGCAATGGGCAGCACATGGAGGCGGCGGCACCGGGTCCAGGGGCAGCGTCGCGGGGTCCAGGGGCGGCTGCTCCAGGGGCCAGGGGCGGCTGCACCAGGGGCGGTTGCTCCAGGGGCCAGGGGCGGCTGCTCCAGGGGCCAGAGGCGGCTGCACCAGGGGCGGCTGCTTCGACGCACGGCCCCCCCCAGGTTGCCCCTCCCGTCGCCTGTTGAGGCGACCTGAGGGGGGGGGGGGGAGGAGTACGGGGGCCGACGCGCGGCCTCCCAGGGCGCCAGAGCAGGCGGAAGAAGGGGCGACGCGCGCCCCCCCAGGTCGCCCCTCACGCCCCCCCCCCCCCCCGGCTCGCCACGTAAGGCGACGGGAAAAGGGGGGGGGGGGGCGGTGCACGGGCCCCTGGTGCGCCACGACAGGCATGAGGAGGGCGGGGCCTGGGCAGGATCGGGGCATGGCAGGGGCAGGGCCGCGATAGGGCCGCGACAGGGTCGGGGCAGGGCCGCGACAGGTCCGGGACAGGGGCGACGCCGGGCGACGGGGCCGATACGGGGGGCCGCGACGGGGGGCCGCGACGAGGGGCCGCGACAGGGCCTTATGGGGGGCCGCGAAGGGCCGTACGAGGGGCCGCGAAGGGCCGTACGAGGGGCCGCGAAGGGCCGTACGAGGGGCCGCGAAGGGCCTGACGAGGGGTCGCGAGGGGGGCCTAACGAGGGGCCGCGAAGGGGCCTTACGAGGGGCCGCGAAGGGGCCTAACGAGGGGCCGCGAAGGGGCCTTACGAGGGGCCGCGAAGGGGCCTTACGAGGGGCCGCGAAGGGGCCTTCCGAGGGGCCGCGAAGGGGGGCCTAACGAGGGGCCGCGAAGGGCCTTACGAGGGGCCGCTAAGGGCCGTTAAGGGCAGGCGCGACGCGCGCCTCGGGTAGGAAAAAAAAAAATCAGTGGTGGGCCCAAGGATCGAGACAGCTCTATACCATGTGAAGAAATGAGGAAGGAAATGAGAGAAGAGGAGAGGGATTCACTAGCAAACATTGGGATACATATAGCAAACCCTAAAATGGCTGTACTCACTATAGAGTACCCCACTGCAGACTAGAGAAACATAATATTCTGACACGTCCCGATTTTCCCACTAAGCAGTATAGGGCTGTCTACCGTAGTACCCTCTTTATTCGGCCGGGTGTGGTCGATTGCGTGAACCGACACAATCACTCGGTGAGTGTCGGTTGGGTCGGGCGAGCGGCGTGACCTGTCAGTAGAGGGCCCGTCTGCTATTGACTCCCAGCGTTTCCCTGCTGCTTGGCCGGTCTTTGCTGCTCAACTTCCCCCTTTCCCTTAGCATTTTCCGGGAATTCGCTCTTACGGTGTCCCGGCCGATTGCACGCAAAGCAGCGCCCTTTGAACGGTGCGGCAGCGGCATTTGCGGCGACGGCACGTCGTGGACGGAACCGAGTTGGCGCCAAGTGCGGAGCCTCTGTCGCGCCGCGATCGAAGCCGCAATTGGCTCGAAACGAGCGCGCAAACCTGCGCACCACGCGTCCCACGTGCGATACTGGGGCACCTTCACGAAATACGAGGACGCCTAGGGTCCGGTTTGTCCTTCCCGTGTCGGTAGAGTCGCGTAGTCCACCGGCTTCGTGACGATGACACGCCACCAGTCCATGGTGGGTCCTTGCAGCAACGACACGGCGTGTCGAATCTTCGCCGTATCCTCCGAGACGTAGTTCGCGTCGAAGAAGACGTTCAACGTGAAAAGCCACGCCTGAACGGTAGAACCACCCCGCTGACTTGGATCGAAACATGGCGGACGCTGCGGCTTCAGCGGCATCGGCGACGGTAGGGTTGATTCGCCGGCTGGCACTGAAATGGTGACTCGAGGCTGATTCCTGGCCGCATTCGTCGCGTCGGGGTGTGTCGTGCCGTGGTCGTCGTCTCCGTCATGGCGGACGACACCATCACTTGCGGCGCTCGCGGGTTGCCCCACACTTCCGTGTTGTGATGTCTGTGGTGCGGGCTGAATCGGAGTGCGAGGTGCTTGGGATTGTGCTCGTGCGAGGTCGTTTTGCAAGGACGTGCATTCTGCCGTCAGCACCGCGATTTCTTCAGAGCTTTCGCGGATTTGCCGCAGTAGTTCGTTCAAGTGCTCCTGCGTGAGAGTCATGACATCGATATGCTCAGCCATTACGAGGGACGTCGGCTCGGCTTAGTCTAGGCGCTGTCGTGGCTGAACGCGTTTACGTGAGAACGCGAGGGCAGCGGCTTCTAGGGGCTAAGGTGCGTGAGTCCCTTCGAGTGAAAAATCAAAAGTTGATTTTCTGGGGTGCGGAGATGCGCGGTCTGAAAAGGAAGAGGCTCTGATACCAAGTGTTACGGGTGCAATGAATCGAAGTTGCGAGAATTGCACAAAGGTGTGAAACGAGTACAAAATGTGAGCGAAGGCATGAGCGAACATTTATACGCGAAACATGCAAACGGTAACGCGGTGCGTGCGAGCTAGCTAGTGCTATGCTGGAAGCGGGGCTCGGGCTAGTCCCGAAGCGTAGGCCGATACGGCCCGGCCAGCAGTGCGAGGTTTGGTGAAACAGTGCGCGCGAAGTGGGCGAAGCCCCGTTAGCAGTAACGGGCGAACAACGGCTGCTTGTGTATACGATGTTGCAGGGCGCGCCAAGGAATCTCGAGAGAATTCCTTACAGAAATGGATACATGACATCGGTGATAGCATTTCTCAATGGCTGATTATGTTACAGTAACTATGCACCCAACATTTAATAATACATTTTCAATTATTATGTTTTGCACTATTATACGCTTATTGATGTGAATGAGCCTTCTGTATGTCGTAACTATTCATATTAAATAGTATCGATACAGTGTGACTCCCTTCGGCTAAAACATATATTATACTTCCCATTTTTCTGAAGTTAAAGTCTCAAAAACTTTATTATCAGGAACTTGAAAAGATATATGAATAATCTGACAGACTGTTACAAGCTGCTGAAGTGGCATGGTCCACATCAGATGTATAGAAACTTGTCCCCTTCATGAATCGTGTGAGCCCCACCCCCACAACATTGCCAGCCACTCACTTGCCCCCCCGTCGAAGCAATTCTCTTGTGAGTGGGCGAATTAGCGAGTCGCGACACGACTGGGAACCCCCAATGTGCGGTCGATGCGCGGCGCGGAAAGAGTCTATTCCATTCGAGTTATATGGCATGGACATCAGTGGCCCGATGAGTTCGCTGAGACATTTTCCCACTCATTCCCCTGCCCTCCACTCCGACCATCGTAGAAACAGAATCATGGTACCCATCAAACACCGCACACGATTTCCGTGATGGCGCCGTCACAACTGAAGGACTGCGTGCCCACTGCCCAAGTTAGCCGGCGACCTCAACACACCCATCATCTCGCCCTGGACAGCACTTTCAATCTGCAACGTGAATAAATGTATCTGTTGATAAACCCGGCTCTGAACCCAAGCGACCAAGTCTCACCTTTCTCCTTCTAGCTACCTTGTCGAGCACAGAAATACTCGTCGTCCCTTAGGAATCCCGTTTCTCTGTTCCACGCCACAACACTAGCTCTGGAGACACCGAACAATGACTCCCTCAATCGCTGTCCGTCGTTTTTCCCCGCATGTACCTCTGGCTCTCCTTTCTCTCCTCTTGGTCCTCGCTCACGGTATCCTTCCTGCCACATGTTTCGATCAGGACCCAAGCGACCCGCTTGCAGGCGTCAGTATGACGTATCGTCCTGACCTGCCAGAGAGCGGCGGTTCCAGTGCCAACTCTGTTAGTGGTGGCGGCTCTGACACCTCATTCACTCCCCGCACCGGCAGCGACGGGAACGGTAGCGGTAACGAGCCCACTTCTGGTGGTGGCGTGGGCATTGCTCCTCGACGTCCGGCCCCGTCTAGCGGCGGGGGTGGCGGTAGCGATATCGGTAACGATCTTACATCTGGCAATGGCAAGGGCTTCTCATATAGACGTCCAGCTCCGTCTAGCGGCGGCAACGGTGCCGGCAAGAGCGACTCGGAGACGAGCTTCAAAAAGAGAGAAGATCTTCCTGGAAGCGGCGGCGGCGGCATCGGCGGCGGAGGAGGATCGTTCACAGGCCGCAATCCGACCACCTCTCCACCGAAGCCGAAGCCCCGTCCGCCCATCTCGGCGCCAAAGCCGGAGCCGCAACCCAGCGCCCCTCCTAGTGACACCGGCGGCAACGGCGGTGGCGGTAATGGTGGTGCTAAGGTGGCAACCACAAAGCTTTATCTGCTTTCGGAGGGCTCTACCAAGGGGCGGTGTTTGGACGGCAGGTGCGTTGGATTGAGGCATCAGATTGAGGCAGAAGAATCACCCAGTCGGTACTTGTCGTGTTGTCGTTCCAAAGAAGCATGCCGGTTGCTCTCATGAAACCAGTGTGTGGTGCATCCGATGGTTTCATTCTTCACACATATGCTTCTGCTCCTGCTGGCCTGCCCATCTCTTCTTTTGGGCTGGGTCTCCCTCTCCCTCAGTGCCCCGGGGTACTACCATCGTCAGGGCTTCGGCACTGGCTCTCGGAAGTGGATCATTTTTCTCGAGGTCTGATTCTCACCCATTTCCTAGCTCCAGCTGTTTTCCTTGAAATTTCGTGTTTTTATGGTAAACAGCTGGACAGATGCTCTGAGCTCGATTTGAGGTAGGCGCTCTAAGCAAGCGATCGCATTTACAGCAAGCTCGCGTGAGTTCCCCCCCCCCAAACCCGCCCCACTCCTCGTGGCGATGTGCTCATGTCTCATGTCCACTCGTCTATCCTTTGGGTCCACAGGGCGGCGGGTGGTGCTTCAGCCTCAAGCAGTGCGCCGTACGTTCCAAAGGCCTTCTCGGGAGCTCCAATCAATGGCCAAAGGAGCGCGTGAGTATACTCCTTCGACTGCTCCGCACTCAGCCGCCATCGTTTTCCACCTTTCCCGTCGCACCCTTCGTCCCCATCGTCCTATTCGTTCCCATGCTCACCATCGTCACATTTGTCCCTTGTCGTCTCACCTCGCAGGCTTTGCCGTTGCTCGCCCGTCCCCACGGTTGTTTCCCGTGCCCCTTGCAGAACGAGTGCAGCGTATCAACAGCGTCCATTCCGTCCGGTTCGAGCTCGTTCCCTCAGTTGCAGCCATACTAATTTGAACCATTACAACCGGTTAACACCTTTCCAGCCTGCCAGGACCCTTCCAAGAGGTCCTTAGACCAGTCACCCTCCAACTCCTTTTCCCCTCTGCCTTTTCCCCCCTGCCTGCCTCCACTTTCTCTCCCCACTCGCCCTTCCCCCTCCCCCGTCCCCCGCCGGTCCGCGCTTGCGCACGGGGTGCGGCAGAAGGTGGAGTTCAACGGCGTGGTGAGTCCGAGCAGCCGCGACAACCCGGGTTTCTACAACTGGAACGTGGCATCTATTAAGTACTGCGACGGAGGCTCGTTCGCGGGCGGCTCGGGCATGGCGCGCACCAAGGCCAACGATACGGTCTTCTTCCTCGGCAACTGGAACCTCAAGGACTCGATCAAAGGTACGGCAGGGGTTGCGTGAAGGTGCGGGGTACGAGAGGTGTGTCGCGTGAAGGTACGTACGGGGAACGTCACGGAATGGCATGGGGTGGCGTGCCGTCTGGCCCACGTGATGACTCTCTGAATGCTGATTCGTTGCTGCCTTCCACTCCTGTCCCTTGCTGCCCCTGTGTCTTTTGCTTTATTTTTCTCTGCCTGCACGCAGACCTCTTGAACCAGCGCGGCATGAGCAAGGGCACGGACGTGCTGGTGGCGGGGTGCAGCGCTGGCGCCGTGGCGGTGTCGATGCTGTGCGATCAGATCGCGGGCCAGCTCAAGCCCTTCGGCCTCAAGACCAAATGCCTCATGGACGCCGGGTTTATCCCAGGTACGATGGCGAAAAATCAGGGGCAAACGCACGTGATATATGTGTGGCCCTACCTTCCTGCGATCTGAGCATTCGAGTTGATTATATGCCACAAACTCTTCTTGCTGTTGTTTGTTTCCTCGCCTTTGAAATCCGTGGGCAGATGTGAAGGACTACAAGGGTCAGTTTTCCCTGCGTGAGAAGGTCGGGCGCATGACTCAGCTGCAGAGCTTCAACGGCATCGGGATCAACGGCGACTGCCAGCAAGGTCAGACAGTTATACCGATTGCATTGGGATTGACGTATTTCATTTTTTTTACCCTATCCACTATAGTGATCCTTTTTACCTGTCCATATTGAACTGTATCCAGTCCTTATGCCCGTCATGATGCTCGTTACGCAATTCACGCCTTCCTACTCTGCCTGTTATGCCCGTGTCTCCAACAGCGAATCCTGGGCAGAGTTGGAAATGTTTTTTCCCGCAGTACAATCTCAAGTACATCCGGACCCCGACCTTCCTTGTGAACTCGCTTGCGGACTACAAGGGCGTGGCGCTCTCGTTGGCTCCTCGCTCCAAAAAGAAGAGCAACCCTATCATCAAGTGCCTCTCTTCCAACTACGACAAGGCCAAGTGCACTCCGCAGCAGCTCGCTCTTCTTCAAAACTATTCCCAAGGGATTAAATCATCGCTGGACGAGATTTCACATAACCGCGCATCGGCCAACGTGCAGTTCAAAGTGTTCACGTACACCCAGTCCACGCACTGCGTTATGGGTGATGCTCTTTGGAGCCAGCTCAAATCTGCAGACCAGCCCACCATTGCAAACAAACGACTCTCTTCGATGTATGGAAGTGTCACTGGTGCCATCGCCAACACATTGAAGAACTCGTTTATGGACTGGTATTACTCGTAGAAACATTTCCCTGATGCACTCTTACTAATAAGTAGTATATACTAGATTTACTAACAACATGGATGCTATGTGTGTACTTCCAGAGTTTGCGTGGCAACTGCTGTATATTTCTGCAACAGCAAAGCACCTGAAAGGGTACCACATAAGTGAACAGCTGGCATAGGTAGAGTTAATGTAGGTGTATACAATCGATATTATCTAAACTGAAACGGGGCTTTTACGATTCGCTGGACTAGACCCACATTCGCGGCTCGGACTTGCGCATACGAGTCGCGACATACGAGGACATGGGACAGACACATTTCCCCACGTTCCTGTCCATCTGTTGAAGTCCAACTTCGCCAACGGCAGCGATCTCCGAAGCTGCTTTGCCCCTGATCGTACCCTCATCAGGCTTGTGGGCGTGATGAGCTGCACCAAGCAGCGTGCATTTCGTTCTCTCAGTGAATCCAACTGGCTGACCCTTTCGGTCCAGCCAGACTGCAGACCAGACCAGCGCTATCAACCTGCACTGCACATCGCTCGCAATCGCAACGCAATCCACGGGTCGCTAACCAAATCTCACTCATCTGCACTCTCCTTCTCACACGGCCCCTACGTTTGACCACACAACTCTCTTCGGACGTGCAAGTCCTTGCAGCAGAAGAAGCGCCCGCCCCAACCGCCAATCCCGGCGTAGAGACTCTTCACTGTGCATCGCAACTGCCGTTCCTACCAACTCACCGACCACTGTTTCTGGCCGAGCCATTCTAAGCCCATCGTCTCTTGGGTTGGGCCCGACACAGCTGCGTCTTGCAGCGCAAGAAAGCTCTGCTCACGCCGCCGATACATTTAAGGTTCACCCTCCTCAAGTTCACCATATTCTCAACGTCCGACGAGAATCCGCCATAGTTTCTATCCAAACCTGGTTGCTAGTTCGGTGCACCACTTGTGCCCCACCTCTCCCTTCTTTTTTCAAGTATCTTTATCGCAACCTTTGTGGAGGCAGCTCTGTTGCCCCTCTCTGGATTCTTTCCGTTCACAATCCGTTGTTCTTTGTCTGTTCACACGGACGCTCCATCCGTCGATGCGCTCGTGTTGAGCCAGTGGAAGTTAGTATCAAATGCGCTCCCCTCGAGCCCTCCCCACCACTAAGAGCCATTAATTTAGTATCAACGAAACACGAAGCAACGCCAGCCACACCTCGCGAAACCTCTTCGCGCTCGACTGACTACGTTCTCCCTCCTTGCATTGCCTCGTCTGCTCGTTTACCCCTCCCGTCCTACTAGTCCCCGCCGCCCCACCAGCCACCTTTCACCACGACGTACCGGCCCCACATGCCGCTGCGCGGCAACCATCACGTCTACACCAGACCCCTTATCAACCCCACACTTCCCCTTCTCGCCCTCGCCCTTGTCGCGTCCCTTGCGCCCTTCTCCGTCGCGGCACTCCCTGGCGCTTCTGGCGCCCGGGGCGGACCGGCGACCACAAGTCTGGTGTTGCTTCCGCCAAGTAAATACGGCGCGCGATGCTTGGACGGCAGGTTGGTGCTTTCGACGTTGGTGCTTTCGAAATCCCCACCATGCGGTCCCGACACCATTCCATGCCATGCCAAGTCATGTCAAACCACCATATGCCACTTCTCGATGCCACTCCCCACCAAATCACCCACTTTTTGCCTCCTTTGCTGCACTGTAATAACACTCGGTTTAGATCAAGCCGCGTGTCACGGTATCAGAGTGAGTCTGCCCGACATGAAGCGCCAAAGGCACGCCATTTCACGCCAGCTATCCACCACCAGCTCTCCTTCCTGATCGTCCTGCTCTCCTCTTTCGTCCTTCCCTGTGTTCTCTCCTTTCCCCATCCGTTCCCCTCCGTCCCCACCGTCCCTCGGCCCTCTCGTCCCCGCGCAGTCCGCCGGGGTTCTACCACCGGCAGGGGCACGGCGCGGGGGCGAACAAGTGGCTGATCTACCTGCAGGGCGGCGGGTGGTGCTACAGTGTCACGGGGTGCAGCTTCCGCGCAACCACCGTGCTCGGGAGCACCCGCTTCTACTTGCCGCCATCTAACCCCGCGTTCGAGTCCACGGTATGTGTGATCTGTGATTCGGCTCTAAAATCGCCTCTGCTGGTGAAGTGGGCACTCACAGAACTTAGTTTGTGAGTCAACAAGAATCACTAGAACAAAAGTCTCTTCGGCATGCATGGCGTGGTCTAATGCACAGCTCGCATCTCGCTTGCAGTCCGTGCCGCAACGGCGCGCACCACGATCGGGGCGGAATGGAGGCGGATTCCTCCTCTCCCCCTTGCAAACCTCCGCTCTCCATCCCTTCCTTATCCCCTCACTCCCTCTCCCCCTGTCGCCCCTTCCCTTCTTCCCTTTTCCCCCTTTTTTTCTCACCTCCCCCCTTTCCCCTGCCCCGCTTCTCCCCCTCCGCCGTCTCGCGCGCAGCTGCGCAAGTATGGCACGCAATTCAGCGGAATGCTGAGCGCGAGCGCGCAGGAGAACCCCGCGTTCTTCAACTGGAACACCGTCATGGTGCTCTACTGCGACGGCGGCGGCTTCGCGGGCAGCGGGCAGCGCATCGCCGTCAACCGCACCACCACGCTCTTCTCGCACGGCTCGCGCATCATCAACGCCGTGTTACAAGGTGCGTGCCGATGCTTTGTCCGTGCTGCTATGCTCCCCTGCCCTGCTGCCCTTGATGCTATGTCCGCGTTGTTCTTCATTGCCCTCCAGCTCCAAGGTTACACCCAAAATCACCCGCCCGCTCTCTCTCCCGCTCGCTACCTCGCCCGCTCTCTCTCCCTCGCTCGCTCGCTCGTTCCGTACAAGGCACGGTTATATTGCAACACAGCGCCCACCTCGCGCCCACACCTATCCCTCCCCGCCGTTTTCTCCCCACAGAGCTGACCACGCGGCGCGGCATGGCGGCAGCCGCCAAGGTGGTGCTGAGCGGGTGCTCCGCGGGTGGGCAGGCGGTGAGCGCCGTGTGCAACCGCGTGGGCGCCGCCGTGCCGCGGGCCAACGTGAAATGCATCATGGACGGCGGGTTCTTCCTCGGTACGTGCTGTGCTGTGCTGTGCTGTGCTGTGCTGTGCTGTGCTGTGCTGTGCTGTGCTGTGCTGTGCTGTGCTGTGCTGTGCTGTGCTGTGCTGTGCTGTGCTGTGCTGTGCTGTGCTGTGCTGTGCTGTGCTGTGCTGTGCTGTGCTGTGCTGTGCTGTGCTGTGCTGTGCTGTGCTGTGCTGTGCTGTGCTGTGCTGTGCTGTGCTGTGCTGTGCTGTGCTGTGCTGTGCTGTGCTGTGCTGTGCTGTGCTGTGCTGTGCTGTGCTGTGCTGTGCTGTGCTGTGCTGTGCTGTGCTGTGCTGTGCTGTGCTGTGCTGTGCTGTGCTGTGCTGTGCTGTGCTGTGCTGTGCTGTGCTGTGCTGTGCTGTGCTGTGCTGTGCTGTGCTGTGCTGTGCTGTGCTGTGCTGTGCTGTGCTGTGCTGTGCTGTGCTGTGCTGTGCTGTGCTGTGCTGTGCTGTGCTGTGCTGTGCTGTGCTGTGCTGTGCTGTGCTGTGCTGTGCTGTGCTGTGCTGTGCTGTGCTGTGCTGTGCTGTGCTGTGCTGTGCTGTGCTGTGCTGTGCTGTGCTGTGCTGTGCTGTGCTGTGCTGTGCTGTGCTGTGCTGTGCTGTGCTGTGCTGTGCTGTGCTGTGCTGTGCTGTGCTGTGCTGTGCTGTGCTGTGCTGTGCTGTGCTGTGCTGTGCTGTGCTGTGCTGTGCTGTGCTGTGCTGTGCTGTGCTGTGCTGTGCTGTGCTGTGCTGTGCTGTGCTGTGCTGTGCTGTGCTGTGCTGTGCTGTGCTGTGCTGTGCTGTGCTGTGCTGTGCTGTGCTGTGCTGTGCTGTGCTGTGCTGTGCTGTGCTGTGCTGTGCTGTGCTGTGCTGTGCTGTGCTGTGCTGTGCTGTGCTGTGCTGTGCTGTGCTGTGCTGTGCTGTGCTGTGCTGTGCTGTGCTGTGCTGTGCTGTGCTGTGCTGTGCTGTGCTGTGCTGTGCTGTGCTGTGCTGTGCTGTGCTGTGCTGTGCTGTGCTGTGCTGTGCTGTGCTGTGCTGTGCTGTGCTGTGCTGTGCTGTGCTGTGCTGTGCTGTGCTGTGCTGTGCTGTGCTGTGCTGTGCTGTGCTGTGCTTTGCTTTGCTTCAATGCGCGTTGAGCGCCCAGATCTCATTCTGACATCTCCTTATGCCGTATCACCAAGACAAACGTCTGTATGCCCCAAACACAAAAGTATTCTCTTTCCCCTTGCCCTCGCCCTCTTCCCGTTCCACCCCCATACGCCCCTGCGTCCGCCCTCCGCAACTGCTTCTCCGCGCAACTTGCGCGTGCGTGCGCGCGTGCGGGCGGGCGGGCGGGCGGGCGCGCAACAGACGCGGACGACGTGACGGGGCAGAAGTACTTCCGCAGCCTCGCCAAGTCCATTGTCGCGCTGCACCGCCCCTTCGTCGACCCCGCCTGCCGCCAGAGTGCGTCAGTGTATTGCAGCACTGCACATGACGTCACATAGCATGACATGACAATATATCACACGTCATCGCATGTCATCGCATCACTGCACGACACAGCACTCTCGTACATCTCATAATCGCTAGCTATACCCTTCGCATGCCCTGTGCCATAACCCCTCACATGCCCCATGCCTTAACTCAAAAGCCCCCTCCCTTCCCTCTCCTCCACTCTCCCCCCTCCTCCCCACACACAGTGTACGGCACGCAGGTGTGGAAGTGCTTCTTCCCACAGAACAACCTCTACTTCGCGCGCTGCCCGGTCTTCACTTCTGAATCGACTCAGAAGTGACCCAGTTCTCCTGAACCCCGTTCCCCTACTTTCCTATCCCCCCTGCCCCCCCCTCAACCATGCCAGTGTACGGCACACAGGTGTGGAAGTGCTTCTTCCCGCAGAACAACCTCTACTTTGTGCGCCCCCCTGTCTTCATAGTCAACTCAGTGGCGGACTTTGCCGCCATAGACATCGCCAACCAGGGCCAGAACGAGTCCTCTACCACCAGCATCACGTACTGCATGAACAAGCTCTTTCTCAAGGCCGGCGCTCCCCCCACTGCCGCTGCTGCTGCTGTCTCTGACTCCGCTCCTGCTGATGCTGCTGATGCTGGGGCTGTGGGGGCGGTGGCAGCGGAGTTTGGTCCGGTGGGGGATGAGGAGGAGGAGGCGGAGGCATGGGGTGGAGATGCTGTAGCTTCCAGTGAGCAGACCCGCACTGCTCGGTCTACTGCTTTCTCTTCTCCTGCTTTCCCAGAAGCGTCTGGCGCACATGCAAATGCAGGGCTAGTAGACGGAGATACATACGATCAGTTTTCTGGTGTTTTCCACACGCCACAAGGTGTGCCATCGCCCCACCCACGGTGGTCGATAGAAGGAGACACGCATGTGCAACTCGTCCCCTTCAACCCCACCACGAGCACCACCGGCGCCACCAGCAGAAGCTTCACGGCCCTTCACGGCGCTACAGCTACCATCACAAGATTCGACCATGACAGGGACAGAGACCGGGACAACGAAGGAGACAGGGACAGCAGCAAGAGCAGAAGCAAGAGCAGCACCAGCAGCAGCGGCAGTGAGTGCTCTTCAGCGGAGATGGCAGCGATACAGACGTACTCGCGGCGGTCCATCATGCGAATCCGCGCTGTGCTGCGCGCCAAGCCTTCATTCGGGTTCTTCCTGGTGGGCACCATCGGTCACTGCACCACCATCTACCCCTCGTGGGCGCAGGTCGCCCGCAAGAAGGAGAACCTGCGTCAGGAGCTCACCACGTGGATTGGACCCTAGTTGGCTACCTGGTTACTTATTGATTGATATTGTTGCCGCTGGTAGGTACTCTCCACGGGGGTCGTCTGCTTCACTTTGAGACGTCTCAAAACATCTCTGCTATGCTGCCTCCATGTAGATCACCTCACATGAGGTTGAAGGGATTGTGGTGGAGAGAGAGGGCAGTTGGTTGGTTGGTATGTGGGAGAGGAGATGGGTTGGGAAGGGGTGTGGGTTTATTGACATGGAAGAGAGGGATTTCGCTGTGGCATGGCGCCATGCTTCTTTCTACGGTAGGTGGAATCAGCTAGGTTGGAGAGAGTGTTTTGCTTTCTCACTTGCGTATGTATGTAAAATAATTGGGAATAAAGCTGTCCCTTGCTGCATTATGTGAGGGTGTTGTGCTCCTCCTACTGTCCTATCCGTGTCAAGTGGTTTGCTCCATTTTTTTTAAGCTAGCATTGCACGCGAAGGTAGATACCGTTACATTGCTCAGCCATGCGTTCAATATCTCGGCCCAGCCCAGGGGTTCATTGCTATGCCTGGCCAGCCATAAATCCAGACGTTTGGCCATAGTAACAGTTCAAGAGTTGTTTGATAGGTCGTCCCGTACCGTATCACTTAAGTAAATATGGTGCACATCAACCAAGATAGAACAGCCCACTAGAAAATACATTTCAAGCTGTTACGGTGATCATGAATCTCTTGCATTCACCTGGATCCTCCCTACCTGCGCCAGCAGCGGCTCGGGCAACTCCCCCAATTGGGTGCATCTCTCCAGATACACCTCCCGCAGACTCATCGCACTCTCCAACCCCTCGGGCAGCTCGCTGAGATTTTTGCACTCTTGCACGTCCAGCACCTGTAGCAAAGCCAGGTGTGAGACGGCTGCGGGCAGCTTGAGCAGCAGCGGCAGGTCGTTGAGCGTGAGAGTGAGGAGAGAGGCAAGATTGCCGAATCCTTCTGGTAGAGAGGAAAATATCTCACAGTCGGTGACCATAAGGTGCTGTAGGGAGGTGAGGAGGGTGAGGGAGGCCGGGAGCGTTGATAGCTTCGGCGCGTTGTCTATGGTTAGCACGCGCAGCCCTTGTATCTGCCCGAGGTCCTCGGGCAAGTTGGAAATTTTCATGTGGCTGAGATGAAGGCGCTGGAGGTGAGGAAGGGCTGTGATTGAAGGAGGGAGAGGGGAGAGTAAGGGGAGGGTGTGCAGGGTCAGAATTCTCAGTTTCTGAAGTGTGAGGATGTTGGGTATTGAGAGAGGGGAGACAAGAGACAAGTCATAGAGAGAAAGGCTCTCCAGAGAGGATGCTATGGGAACGGTTTTGAGAGATGGGATGTGTTCGATGTGCAAGTGTTGCAGAGAGGAGAGGTGGGAGATGGCTGGCTGCATGTCGCTGGTGTTCTGTAGTGTGTTGGACAGGATTAGGGTTTGCAGGGTGGATGGGAAGGGCGAGGGCGAGGGGGGGGCCGGGAGCCTGGTGAATTTCACACAGTCACGGATTTCGAGGTGGTGGAGGGAGGGGAGGAGATAGAGACCTGAAGGGAGGAAGGAGAGAGAGGGGCATTTGAGGATGAGGAGGCGGCGGAGGGATGGGAGGGGATGGGGAGGAGAGGGCGGGGTTGAAGGCTGAGGAGGGGTGATTGTGTTAACAAAATAGGGGCCATGCCTTATGGCAGAAACGTCGGCAGCAGCAGCAGCAGCAGTGGCAGATGCAGAGGCAGAAGCAGCAGCAACAGCGGCATCGGCAGCAGCAGTAGCAGACGCAGCAGCAGAAGCATCGGCAGCAGCAGTAGTAGCGGAAGCAGCAGCAGAAACAGCCGCAGAAGCAGAAACAGCAGCAGCAGCTGCTGCAGAAGCAGAAGCAGCAGCAGTAGCAGACGCGGCAGCAGCAGCAGAAACAGCGGAGGCGGCAACAGCAACAGCCGCCGCAGTAGCAACAGCAGCAACAGGAGGAGAGGGGGTTAGTGGAGGCAGCACAGAAAGCCGCTTGCAACGAGATAGCTCGAACTCCTGCAAGCCCACAAGGTTGCCCCACCCGAGCGGAAATTCAACCAGCGAGTGACAGTTGGAGATGCACAGCCCCTGCAAGCGAGTTAGTAGCGTGAACGATGCGGGCAGCCGGCGAAGCTCATGGCATGCGTGGATCTCCAGGGCAGTTAAGGAATTCGCGAGCTGCCCGAAGCTGCTCGGCAGGTGAGTGAACACTGTCTCGGGCGCGTCCTCGTCCCCATAATAATAATAATAATCATCATCATCACCGTCATTGTCGTCTGAACGTACAGGGTCAAACATGCAGGTCTGATGGCCTAGATTCCCATCATCCCGTTTAGTCACCAAGCCCTTCCATCCAAGAGTCAGGCTTTCAAGGCGGGGAAGCTGCGAAAAGGACTCAGGAAGGGTTTCCAGCGGTTCGCATCCAGCTATTTCTACCGTGCGAAGCGCTGTTAGCTGCCCGATAGTTTCGGGCAGGGCTGCCAAAAAGTCGCAGCTGTGGATAGTTAAATTCTCAAGGTGGGGTAGAGTAATTGGTAGAGGTATGTCACCAGAATAAGCAGCAATTGTGAGCTGCGTCAGCTTCAGCAGCTGCTGCCCGAACGAATCGGGCAGATCGCAACCGACTTCGCTCAGATGCAGCTCCGTCAGCGCCGACACCTGCCCGAGATCTTCGGGCAGGAATTCCAAAGAACACCCGAGAAGCTGCAGGCGAGAGAGCGAGTGCATCCCCGCGAAAGACGCTGGCAGCGATGTTAAAACCTCACAATTGGCCGCGTGCAGGTGCGCCAGGGAGGAGAGGAGGGCTAGTGAGTCTGGAATAGCTGCCAGGGCGGGGAGCTGGTCGAGAACAAGAGAGGCGAGGCGGGGAACGTCGCCGATATCCTCCGGCAACGAGGCGAGAGACTTGCAGTGCTGAACGGTGAGAGCAGTGAGGGAGGAGAGGGCGGAGAGCGAGGGCGGGAGAGCAGTCAAGCGAGCGCAAAACTTGACGGTCAGTTCTTGCAGCGATGGCAGCTCTCCGATGCTGTCAGGGAGCGATCGCAGGTGCGCGAGGTGGGAGAGGAAGAGGCGTTTGAGGGAAGAGAGATGGGCGGAGGAGTCTGGGAGAGAGGAGACACTGAGCCCGCGCAGGTGGAGGGTTTCGAGGGATGATAAGAGGCCGATGGAGTCGGGCAGGGATTCCAAAGAATCCAACTTCGCCAGCTCCAGGTACCGCAGGTTTTTTAGCTGCCCGAGACCGTCGGGCAGCTCCCGGAGGTCGAAGCAGCCGTCGACTTTCAGCGAGGTGAGGGAGCGGAGGCGGGAGAGGGTGGGCGGGAGGGCGCGCGCGTAAGCAGCGCGGATGCGAAGCGACTGTAACGCGGACAACGAGCCAACGCTCTCAGGTAACCCCGCCTCTGGCTCTGGAAGCAGCCTGGAATCGCGATCGTCCCGGCCGCACGAAACGTCCAGCCTCGTCAGCCGCTGCAGGAGACTCACGGAAGCGGGCAGCTCGGGCAGGCACATGGGCAGCACGAGTTTCAAGCTGACCAGGCGGCGGCAGGCGGCGAAAAGGGCGGTAACGGCGGGCTCTGTTACTTTCGCGACTGCGTCGTCGGGATCGTCTGGGTCGTCGGAGCCGTAGAAATTCTGGTCCCAGGAGTGCAGGTTCATGTGGCGATACAGCGACAGGTGCGTGAGGGAGGAAGTGCATCCCGTCGCAATGGAGTTAAGGAGCTCGTCTGTTATGGCGTCTAGAGCCGATGGGCCGATGTGCAGGTGACGCAGGGTGAGCGGGGAGTGGAGGGGAAAGAACGGGGAAGCAGCGGAGGCGGAGCGGGTGGTGGGAGGGGAGAGGGTGAGGGGGAGGGGAGGTGGGGAGGAGAGGAAGGAGCGGAAGGTTTGGGTGGAAAGGCGGCGGTCGGCTTGCAGGAGGATGGCGGGGAGGCTGAAGCGCGCCAAGCGGAGCCAGCGCTTGCACACGAGCGCGTGGCGGAACACGGTGAACGGCGGAGGCGGAGAGGGAGGCGGAGGCGGAAGCGGAGGCGGGAAGGGCGCGGAGTCCGCGGAGGTCCCAGAGAGGGGGAGCGGATAGGCGGAGGCGAGGATATGCTCAGCTGACGGCGTGTCGGGATTGTCGGGTTCGATCTGGAGTGTCATGGTTCGAGCGTAATTCGCGGCGGTCGCTTCGGCCTCGAGAGCTATGGCGCGGGGTAGCTGGATAACGCGTACGAAGCGCGCGCACTTGTTCTTCACTGCCCGCGCGATGCGCTCTTGCAGCAGCTCGTCCTCGCTCGCGTCGTCGCCATGCGCATCCGCATCCGCGTCCTCGCTGTTGGCCGACCCGTTCTTAACAGCATTCCCCACGTTTCTGGCCATTCCATCATCGCGCACCGCAGAAGCACCGTCGCCCCCGGCTCCGCCCGCGTTAGGCTCCGCGGCGGCGGTGGCTGTGGTGGTGCAAGAAGAAGCAGCGGCGGTTGTAAGGCGCGGCTTGGGATGGAAGCGGAAACCGTTAGAGGCCACGAGCGCGAGAATGTGCGCGACGAGATCATCTGACAGACGTGGGAACGGATCGGGATCGAGGCGGCGTTGCCGAGGAGAAGAGCCCTCGTTGAACGAATCCATTTGAGAAACCACGCGTTTGACGAGATGCGCGGCAGAAGGGCGCTCAGTGCGCACCTAAGGGGCTACACGTGTGATGCTTCGAAAGTCGGCGAAGTGAGAATGGTAGGAGACATCTGCTGGGTTGTGAGCTGGAGGTTCAGGGTGTAGCAAGAGGAGTTCACGAGGAAGAAGAGTAGAGTTGAGAAGTTTGAGTGAGAATTTTCTCACATCGGGTATATTTTATTGCGGATGGATGCAATGCGATTTTGCGCGTGTTTGAGCGGGTCGTAAGGTGTGTCGCAAGGGGAGTGAAAGTTCACCCCCTCACCTGCGCTGTGCTCCTGCGATTATGTGCGTGTTTCAGGCTGTCGCAAGGGGAGTGTAAGTTCACCCCCTCACCTGCGCTGTGCTCCTGCGATTATGTGCGTGTTTCAGGCTGTCGCAAGGGGAGTGTAAGTTCACCCCCTCACCTGCGCTGTGCTCCTGCGATTATGTGCGTGTTTCAGGCTGTCGCAAGGGAAGTTGTTATGAGTTGTATGAAAGAAGAGTGCGCAGAATTCAATATCGCGGAAGTGATTACAACTACTGAGGCCTAGGACTAATATAGCGAGGCTAGCTGGGCCGAGGTTGTAGGGTCGCAGGATGGCTGGGTGCAGGTCCGGGGTTGTGAAACCCGAAAGCGACGCGATAGTGGTTCGGAAGGCGAGGTCGTCGGACCGAGCCTGGTTTTCCGAAAAGTCAGGTTTGTACGCGTACAGTGTGACCCAGTAAGGAATCCGAAAAATTCCTTACAGAAGTGAAAGAGAGTAACAATGGGCTCGACTACAAGAGTAACTATCAAATAAAAATAAGGAAGAGTTCCTAGAGAATCAAGTCTCTCTTCTTGAACATCGATAGATTCAAGTCGGGACTTGGTGAGACAGGAAATGCGGAAGAGTTGTGCATGTAAAGTAAAGCAAGGCAACTCTGGTCCACTGTTGCTTGTCGAAACACACCACCACTACCACTGGCCTTCAGTATGACCCCCCGGCCCACACTTGGGTTGGGCCTATGGTATGTTGCTACTCAAGCTCTATGCCTCTCTATAAACACGCTTGTGGTATTCCTGTGTATGCATAATGCATGCACTTCATCTTGCATCATGTGCTGTACGGTGCTATGCTGTGCTGTGATCTGCTGTGCGATGAGGTGCTGCTGATGTTCCTCGATGTGTAGCACAATCAGCCCATGAGCATCTGATGAGGGGAGGCACGCAGCAGAGGAGAAACAGCATGGGTGGGTGGTGGGCGGGCGAGAGATGGGCAAGGTGAAGGGCGGGTGCTGAGCCGAGAGGAGTGCATTAGAAGTACACCAAGACCTCATAAACTTTACGTCTGTATATGCTCCCCCATACGCAAGCCAGACAGAATTTGCAGTAATGGCATAAACTTTGCCGCGCCACCTTGTAACAGCGCTGCACTATCTCTCCACTCCCCTCTCCCCTTCCTCTCGCCTACCCTCCCCCCTGGCATCTCCTCACCTGCAGCAGCCCCCCCATGAAGTCCCCTCCCCCTGAGGGCCGCGCCACCTTGTAGTAGCGGTGGGCTATCTCGTCCAGGTACTGGGGGGGGATGTGGGGGGATGGAGAGATGGGGGGATGGGGGGAAAAGGGAGAAATGATGGGGAATGAAGGGGAATGAAGGGCCCTCCTCCTGAGGGCCGCGCCACCTTGTAGTAGCAGCAGTGGGCTATCTTGTCCAGGTACTGGTGGTGAATAGGGGGGATGGGGGGTATGCGGGGTACTGGGTGGTGGGTACTGGTGGTATGGGGATGGATGGAATCGGGCACAGGAGGTGGAAAGACGAAGAGGCAAAAACGAGGAGCAATGGAGAAGTGAGAAACAGTCGTCTTTGGAGAAATTTCATGAATGAATGAAGGTTCAGAGACATGTATAGGTTGGGACACTCTTCAGAGACAGTGTGTGGTGGGAGAGCTCTGTATGGGAGGGACGTGGACGGTGCGTGGCTGAGGGGCCTGCGAGGGGAAGGTGAGGGTGAAGGGGCGGTGATGGGGCGGTGAGGGGCCAGGGAGGGGAAGTGGATCTCAGGCGAGGGGACGTGGAGCGAAGGAAGAGGAAGTAGTGTAGCAGTGTGTGGGTGATGGGGCAAGGGGGCTTAGGCAGCGAAATGCATAGGCTGCGAGGTGCTTAGACTGCGAGGTGCTTACCAAGTGAAACTGCGGGTCTCGGCGGATGCTGGGGGCATACACCTTGCGCAGCAGCAGGAAGAGAGGCAGCGCATCCCGCTCCACACTGCACAGACCGTTGCAGGGGGGGGGGGGAGGGGGTAACGGGGGTTTGGGGACTTTTGAGGCGTCTCAAAAGCAGCAGCAGGAAGAGAGGCAGCGCATCCCGCTCCACACTGCACAGGCAGGCGCAAGGGGGGGAGGGGGTAAGGGGTATGTAGGGGTGTGTAAGGGTGTGTAGGGGTGAAGGTGGTGAAAGGGGGAGAGGGAGGGGGGGAGAAAAAGGGGGAGGAGGAGGGGCACGAACAAGAAGGGTTGAAGGTGGTATGGGGAATGGGGGATAGACGAATAAAAGATGGGGGTCGGAGCAAAGCAGAGAGGGAGGGTGAGAGAGGGGTGGGGGGGGTGAGGGCTGTAAGGAGCGCACGTGAGCAGCAGGAAGCGGGTGAAGTGGATGAGAGGGGAGTCGGGTAGAGCTGGTGCGGTGCCTGCTGCTCCACGTGCTGTTATATCGTCCATCAGCTCGTTGGCTCCCTTTATGTTGCCCACTGCCAGGTACCTGCCACCCATGCCATGCCGTGGAAAGACGTGCCGTGAAATACCATGCCATGCCATGCCATGCAGTGCCGGGCCGTGGACACGTGTGTCACATACATCCGAGCCAGCCAGCATGGACGTCAAACTCATGCACTGAGGCTTGCTGCTCTGTGGTGTGGCTCGGTGCTTGACGTAGCAATTTTTAAACGGCGACATTATCCGGCGATACTAAACAAGGTGAACAAGCGGAATTCGGTGGACAGCGGTGGAATGCGCTTGGGAGGAAAGGAAACGAAAGCACGTACTGCAGCACGGCTCTGGCGAGCACAAGATCCACCTCGTCTGGGAAGCCCTGGCATGGGCAATGGGCATCGAGAGAGGATAAAGAAGGACGAGGGCGAATCGAGGGAAGGACGAGGGCGAATCGAGGGAAAAGCGAGAACGGAGACAGGAGATGGTGAGGCGAGACAAGGCGGGCCCAAAGGAAACGAAACGGAGAGGGAGACGTCGAGTACAGAGAGTGCGGGAGTTTGTAAGAAGGGGTGGGAACAGAGAAGTGAAGACATGCATTACTAGACTAGAAGGCTAAAGGTAGGGTGTTGGGAGACCGGGGGCGGCTGACTGTGCGTGCTTCGTTGTACGTGCGAGCAGAAGAGAGAGACAGAGAGGGGGGCAGGAAGGGACGAGGAAGGGAAGGGTGCAAGTGCAAGTGACTCACCTCCTGCATGACTTGGCAGAGAACTGAGCTAAACGCCTTAGTGTCGCGGCCCAGCACGAAGTGCCGGCTGGCTGCCTCTAGATCCTGGTGGCACGCGTACACATGTGTGGAAGGAGGGTGAGAATGCGAGGTGGAGAGAGGAGGAAAGTGGGTCAGGGGGAGAAAGAAAGGGGTGGAGAAGTAAGGGTGTGTGATGTGGAGGTAGGATGCATGAGCAGACTCTATGCGGGTGTTTGCCCCTTGAGCAAGGGGTTCATCCTGTCGAGCTGGATCCCTGCTACATGCTTGGGTCGGCTCAGTTCGTCTACCTTGTTGTGTAACCCCGGCTTGTAGACGATGTCATAATGGAAATGTATCTTGAGGAACTCCATCCACCGCACCTGTCGTCCTGAGAGCGTAGGCTGGGACTCGAGGTATTTGAGACTGCAGTGGTCGGTGTAGACCATAGTCTTGGCTCCTTCCAGGAAACACATCCACGCCTTGAAGGCTGTAACGCAGTGGTCGGTGTAGACCATAGTCTGGGGTCGCTCACTTGGACCAGGTCGCTCACTTGGACCAGGTTGCTCACTTGGACCAGGTCGCTCACTTGGACCAGGTCGCTCACTTGGACCAGGTCGCTCACTTGGACCAGGTCGCTCACTTGGACCAGGTCGCTCACTTGGACCAGGTCGCTCACTTGGACCAGGTCACTTACTCGGACCAGATCGCCCTCTTGGACCCGGTCGCCCTCTTGGACCAGGTCGCGCGCGGACCAGGTCGTGCATTCGGACCAGGTCGCGCACTTGGACCAGGTCGCCCTCTTGGACCAGTTCACGCGGCACGACGCGCGAAGCGCATACGGACCAAGGCGCGCGCGTGGACCAGGGCGCGCGCGCGGACCAGGGCGCGCGCGGGGACCAAGGCGCGCGCGCAGACCAGGGCGCGCGCGCGGACCAAGGCGCGCGAAGGGCGCGCGCGCAGACCAGGGCGCGCGCGGGGACCAAGGCGCGCGCGCGGACCAGGGCGCGCGCGCGGACCAAGGCGCGCGAGGGGACCAAGGCGCGCGAGGGCCACGGCGCGCGCGCGGACCAAGGCGCGCGCGCGGACCAAGGCGCGCGCGCGGACCAAGGCGCGTGCACGCGCGCGGGGACCAAGGCGCGCGCGTGGACCACGGCGCGCGTGTGGACCAGGGCGCGCGTGTGGACCAGGGCGCGCGCGTGGACCAAGTCACGCGCGTGGACCAAGGCGCCCGCGTGGACCAAGGCGCCCGCGTGGACCAAGTGGAGCAAGGAATAGCCACACGACCCATGAACCACTCAGTCACCCCTGTGCTGCGCCAACAGCCGCCATTTGCACTGCTCCCGCTGCAACAGGGGCAGCAACACACAGCACAGCAGCACAGCAGCAGCATCACAGCAGCACAGCAGCAGCATCACAGCAGCACAGCAGCAGCATCACAGCAGCACAGCAGCAGCATCACAGCAGCACAGCAGCAGCATCACAGCATCACAGCAGCGCACCTGGGTGGCACCATGCGTCCACAGCAGCACGGCCAGTGCATCGTGCAGCTCTGGTGCTCCATGCCTTGGTGCTCCCTGTGCCTTCAGAGACCACCTGTGGAAAGCAAGCGGGGGGGAGGAGGGGCGGGTAGGGAAATCGAAGAGCGCCGTGGGTGCTGGTGTGAGTGCTGGTGGGACTGGTGGTGTGACTGCTGGTGGGACTGCAAGGGGACAAGGTGAACGGGTGAGTGCGTGAGCTACCATGAGAGGGGCGGTAATACAGACCGAATGGCGGCTTTGAGGAAGGACAAGCAGCCTTCAAACGCAGACAGTGATTCGGATTCAGCAGCAGCAGCAGACGCGGCTGCCTCCGGCGCTGCAGATTGCTCCCTGCTCTCACTCGCAGCAGCAGCGGGCGAGCCGGTTTGGTGTGAGAGCAACGGCTTGAAGGCGTCGTTAATGGCCAGTAGACGCTCTGTTGGTGTAGAGGACAGGCGAGAGGAGGAGCAGGTGATAAGGAGGAAGTGAGCCAAGAAGAATGTGCGTGCGTGTGCGTGTGGAGAGAAAGAGAGAGGAAATAGCATAGCGGTGGTGGGTGGCGGGAGCAGGAAAAGACAGTGCCATAGCTAGAGCCTGTGAGCCTAGCATTCTTCCCAACACCCGTCACCCCATCACCCCATGCTCCCATCACCCCATCCTACCATCCTCCCAACACCTCATCACCCCATCCTGCCATCCCCCCTTAACCCCACAGCCTTACTCACCCACAGTGCCTTGCGAGTGCGCGGTGTGCGTTGCGGACAGAGCGTCCACGAGCAGAAGAGCTAGCTCCGTGCCACACGTCACCTGCCGCTGCTGCAGCTGCACGCTCGCACCGCTCTGCAGCAACTCCACCGCGTCCTCTGCCCGTGCACCCCCTTTACTGAGGTACCTGGTGGGGAGGTAAGGGCGGAGGAAGGGAGAGGGTGCGGTGGGTGATATGGTGATGCCTCTGCTGCAGCTGCACGCACGCCCCGCTCTGCAGCAACTCCACTGTATCCTCTGCCCGCGCAACCCCCCGACTCAGATACCTGGGAGGCGGATTCTGACGAGAAGAGGAGAATGGCCATGAGAAAGGAAGCGGGGGTGGACTTTTGAGACGTCTCAAAAGTCGCACCCCACCCGGCTCAGGAACCTGGGAGGCGGATCCTGAACGAGAAGAGGCGAATGGCCATGAGAAGGGGGGTGTGGAACGAACGACGGGTGGGGAGAGCCGTGGGGAAGGGGCCAGGGTGGAGGAGGTGGGGAGGAGGAGGGGAGGGTGTGGTGGGTGTTATGGTGATGCTGCTGCTGGGGCAGCAGTAGCAGCAGGCAATGGCGGAGTGGAATGGGAGGTGGTGGGTGACTGATCCGCGTGCACTAGGAGGAAAGGTTACAACTAGGGGGCAATGTGCGGGGAATGGCAGGGGAATGAGCGGGGGATGGGAGGGGGATGGGAGGGGGATGGGAGGGGGATGGGCGGGGGATGGGAGGGGGATGGGAGGGGGATGGGCGGGGGATGGGAGAGGGGGGATGAGCGGGGGATGGGAGGGGGGGATGAGCGGGGGATGGGAGGGGGGGATGAGCGGGGGATGGGAGGGGGGGATGAGCATGGGAGGGGGATGGGAGGGGGATGGGAGGGGGATGGGAGGAGGATGGGAGGAGGATGGGAGGGGGATGGGAGGGGGATGGGAGGAGGATGGGAGGAGGATCGGAGGGGGATGGGAGGGGGATGGGAGGAGGATGGGAGGGGGATGGGAGGAGGATGGGAGGGGGATGGGAGGGGAATTCTAGGGGGACGAGACAGTCTTTGCAGAGCGACGAGAAGGAAAAGGGGAGGGCAAGGAAGGATGGGGGGCACTGGCGGGGAAGGAAAGGGAAGGAGAGGGAAGGGAAGCAAGGTGCATGGAATGATGGATGATGGTGGGTGGGTTGGGTTGGGTTGGGTTGAGAGGTTTGATTTGACCTAACCTGGCGCTGACACTCTTGTAGAGCTGCTGTGCTTCGTAGAAGTTGCCTGCCTTCACGCTCGCCTCCAGCTTACTCAGCATCTGCTCTCGCTCGCTCGCCGTTGCCACCCTCACATGCCGTGCCACGCCATGCCACGCCATGCCACGCCATGCCACGCCATGCCGCGTCATTCCATGCCAAATTGCGAAACCAGCGAAGCCATGCAGGGTTGGTGGAAAAATTGAGAACGAGCAGTCGGCGATTGGGTAGCGGGTCGAATCAAGAAGCGGAGGCGGGCGCCTAAAAAAGGATGGCGATTGGGGAGCGATGAAAGACAAGCAGGGGCACGACGAAAGAAGGCGAGAAACCGAATTCGATGGCGGAAAGAGAGGGAGACGGCGAGTGGAGGCCGAGAATAGAGGCGGGACGGAGATAATGGAGAGGGAGTCGAGACGAACGGCGCGAGGACGAACAGTATAATAAGGAGGGATACGTGCGCACCTTAGCAGTCCCGGCTCCCGCTGTTGGCGCCATCGCGACAAGAGGGCGAGCGAGAGGCAAGGAAACTTGGAGATCAGGGCGAATGGAAGAGCAACGAGACGGCAATGAAAGTTGGATTTGACACGCAACGTGAGTGTCAGTGAGGGATCCTGGTGACGAAACAGATATTGGGGCGGGCACGACAGAGAGGGAAGAGGGGATGGAGCTAAAGTGAAAAGTAGAACTCGACGCAAAAGGGTAGAACACCCACGGTGGGACTCGAACCCACAATCACCTGATTAGAAGTCAGATGCCTTATCCATTAGGCCACGCGGGCGCAACAGAGATTTGTCTGAGCCTTAATTTAAAAAATAACGAGTCAGGTGCCACTACTTGCGATTACTAGCAAAAATGTTTCATAAGAAAAATGCTTGTCTATATGGAGAATATTCGATCGTGATCGCTGGGAATTTGCAACCACCACGCAACGTATGTGTACACGTATCATATAAGCCAAAACATTGTTTGCATTACCTATGAGATACCCACGGTGGGACTCGAACCCACAATCACCTGATTAGAAGTCAGATGCCTTATCCATTAGGCCACGCGGGCCTGGAAAATTTCTCATATAGAAATTATTGACCTAATGACGTGCTTATTTGCTGTCAATCCTACTGCCTTGCTCATACGGTACTAGGGTGTATTCAAAATAGTAGCAGCAGTAAAAACCGCATTAAACACAATTTACAGTACTAAACCACATCAAACGAACCCTTCACTAATCAGTATGCCCCATCCTTATCAAGTTTAGGGATGCAATCATGCCAACCCAGCCATATATAACTTCTGCTTACCTATGAGTGATGCTATCTAATGGCACGTAGAACAAAGTTGGGAGGAATGGTTTCTAATCGTGTGGTGGAACAGCAGGTGCAGGACGGAAGCGAGAGTGACAGGGAAGGGCTCAGTGGGCGCATGGCGTGGATGGGGCTTCGAGTGGAAAGGAAGGAGTGGAGGAGAGGCCTAGAGTGGGAGGGCGAAGGATGCGCGATGCCAGTTAACGGGGTCGGCAAGAAGAAACATGTCGTCCTTTTGGTGCTCACCCACCTGGCAGCATGCACATGCAGCAACATAATCATGATGTTTGCGGCAATGAGTAATAGAGAAACACGATCGAGGGAATGCGTAACATGGGACATGGAGAATGTTGCACATGGATGAAGGTACCCAAAGTGAAGCTTAGGAACCACGGAGAGGCAATGAACAAAACATTATGCGTCCATCTACACACTCTTCTTTGGTGGCAGCAGCAGGAGTAAGGCACAGCCTACCTTGTTCTGGCAGCAAGGGCAGAAGTGTTTCTTATGCCACATGCAGCTACCGGGCGTAAGGAAACACACTCCAACGATTGTCACCGCTGCTGCCACTACGGCAGCTGCACTCAGAGACGAGCTGTTGGAACAGAGGGATCGCACAGGCAGGGACGGGGCAGCACAGGACACGACACGCAGGTGGAGAACAGAAGTGTTAAGAAAATTCCGTAGGTCTGGCTTTGAGTTTACCTTAACAGGATGACGTTACGAGGAGGAAAAATGACTGCGTATGAGTGCATAATGGGGTAGAAAGCACCGCAAAAGGCCCCGAAACGAAGAATCCCCTTGCATAGCACTAATGGCACACACGACATCATCACCACCACCACCGCTGTCACCATCGCAACCGCCACCGCCACCACAACCGCCATCGCCACTACCGCCGCTTACCGGACATCAGTGAGCCCCGAGAACCCGCAGCACGGGCACGTGAACGGCGCTGGCGTATCCCCGAAGAACGTTCCGCGAAGCTGCCGGCCGTTGGGGTGCGAGAAGATGGCGTTAGGGGGGATGACGCCGTCCTCGTACGGCGTGCCGCTCACGAAGCACAGCGACCCGCGCGACGTGAATCCCGCTGGTGGTAACCCGGAAGCCTGCGCCTGTGCAGCCGTTACCGCCGAGACGCGATACACTGGCACGATGGATACTTCTGTATGCTGCTGCTGCTTCCCATCCGGAAGCGGAACGTAAGTCGCTCCTCCTGCGACTCCCGCAGCGGCGGCGACAGCGGCTGGACAACCGACTGCTGCGTTCGCGAGCAACGACGCGTCTTCATCGGTATAGACCCCCATGTAGCGTGGAAGAAAAAAAAACGATAAAACTCGAAGACTGGTGGGAGATTAATAGTTAGGGTAAGAAGTCGACCGCAAGCAAGAGCAGAACCCGATGTTCTATACCTTCGACAAGCTGTGTGCGTGAGCTGTTCGGTGATGCTGTAGAAAACTTTTACCCGACTAGTGCAAGAAATCTGTTGGGGTGCATTTGAGGGGGAAGGGAGGGATGACCTCACGCGACAGCGCAGACCGAAGGCCACAGGAAGATGCGACCAGAGAACAGCTGTCAAGGCTAAACGGCTACACTGCACTGCTGCTTCAATTGCACGAGTTATTAGACGTGATACGGTACTACGGAATTGAAACAAGTGGAAAAACACAGCACTTTCATCTAAACATGGCCAAATCACCAAACAAAACTATTCCCCTGAGAGGCACTTAATACTGCAAACACTCCCAATATACTTCAACACCAGCAACCTGGAAACATGAACGATCCACATCCACAAGTGCCCTCCGCTCAGCTTGCTGGCTGGCTGGCTGCCAGGCGATTTAGCTGGCTGGACGGCAGGATGGACGACAGGATGGCTGGCAGGATAGCTGGCTGGCTGACCAGCTAGCAGAGCAACCTGCCCCTGCTGCTTGTTTCTGGCTGTACACACTAACACTTCCCGTTTCAAAGCACTGTCTGAAATCTGCACGTTAAGGCCGCGAAGAAGCCAAAGCACTGTCCGAAATCTGCACGTTAAGACTGAGCTTGCCAGGCCTGGGCGAACCCACTGCAGTAGTCCCAGCAGTCCCACCACCACCATCACCACCACCACCACCACCAACCCCACCTGGCGAATCCACCACTCCCTCTTGCAGCAGACTTTGCCCTCCTCTGCCCTCCCCTTCACTCCCATTCACTGCCACCCCGTTCACAGCCCCTACTCTTAGCGAATCCTCCCCGTCCTGCCCATCACCCCACCCCTCTCTCCCCACGTCTTCATGAATCACGCCTAGCCCATCCTCCACCATATCCCCATCCACAGGCTCGTACTGCGCTGGCTCCTCTTCCTCCTGATCCTCCTCCATTGCTGCTCCCCCCTCTGCTCCTGCCTCCGCCACTTCAGGCACAGGCGCATCCTTCTTCTTTTTCTTCCTACCTGCCCGCTCCAGCCTCTCATCCAGCAGGAAATACGCAGGCAGGAACCTATCCCCTGCAGGCTTCACCCCCTCCCTCCTCCCTCCCGCCGCCACGGCCGCAGCCGCTGCAGCAGCAGCAACTCCCTTCCCTTCATCCTCCAAAACGGAACCTTCCTCTGCTCCTCCCTCTAACAGAGCATGCACATCCACGCCGTTATCCGTCGCCACTCTCGCCAGGTGGCAAATGGGGTGCACGGGGCAGGGAGGAGGGCCGCGGCCAAAGGGTGCGGTGCGAGTGGGGAGCAGCATTTGAGCTACACAGAGAGAGGCGTGCAGGTCAGGGGTCATGCGGCAACTGGAGCTGCGGAAGTAGGGCGTGGAGAAAGACCAGAGGGCCGAGGGAGAGGGGGGCGGCCAGGAGGGGTCCACTGGAGGGACGGACACACAGGTTCGGCCGGTCTTGAGGCAGTGGCGAAGGTTTGGGAGGAGTAGAGCGCGGTTGGGCTCGGTATCGTGGACACTGCCAAGCGATGTGAAGCTGGGGGGATGGGTGGTCGGGTGGGCGGATGGGCAAGTGGCACGGTGCGGAGCCAAAAGGATTACTTTGTTGGGACGCAATGCAAGTTGAGGTGGGGGGGAAAGTAGGAAGAAAATATTTAACGAAAAGGCACGAGAACGTTGGTGCTGGAAGCAAAGGCCAGATGAAGGCAGGGCGGATAGGAATGGCAGGGGGGAGAGACAGTGTGACTGTGATGAGAGGGTCAGGGAGAGGGGAGAGAGGAAGGGGAAGCGGGGAAGAGGGGGAAGAAGAGCCAAGCGAGATGGGGAAGATATGGATACTGACCCTTCGTCGTACAGATGGCAGTACGGCACCTTGGTGACAAGAAGGAACTCCCACACATCCCTGCCATGCCATGCACACAGGGAGAGAAATGGGGACATCAGAAACAAACGCATCAGACGAAGTTAAACAAGACCGATAAGTATCACTGTGGTCAAAAGCAATGGGGACAGTAGCAAGAATAGGAACAACGGGGAGAGATAAAAGGAAGGGAAGAAAATAGAGGCAGGAGAAGGCAGGGGCCAAAAAAGAGCTGGCTAAGGGAGAGTGGACGAGAGAAAGCGGGGGCATGGGCAGGGCGGATACGGAGGGGGGAAATGGAGGGAGCTACGGAAAGAGAGGGAAGGCAGGGTGTGAGGCACCTGTACGACCAATGCAGAATGACATTGACTCGTACGAAATCAGGCCAGCCAGGCGAGCTGTGAGAGAAGACTGCTTGGTTCTTCTGCTCCCGATGAGGAGTACGGAAAGAAGGGGAGGGGGGAGAGTGGGGAGGGGGAAGGAGGAGAGGCGGAGGCAGGGGGAGGGAAAGAAATACAGGGCAAGACAGGTGGGCAAGGAGGGGAGGGGGGGTTCAAGAGGAAAAGTGGTTAACGACAACAAGGAAATCGGGGAAACGCAGGGATGGATAATGCTTGCAATGGGTGTGGATTGTTAAGAGCGAGGCGTAGGCGATAGAGGAGGCGGGGCCAGGGGGAGAGAGAGCAACGGGAGAACGAGAAAGAGTGAGTGCAAGGAGAAAGTGAGTGAGGGAGAGGAACGAGTGAGCGAGGGAGAGGAAAAGAGCGAGCGAGGGAGAGGGAGAGAGAGAGAGAGAGAGAGAGAGAGAGAGAGAGAGAGAGAGAGAGAGAGAGAGAGAGAGAGAGAGAGAGAGAGAGAGAGAGAGAGAGAGAGGAACTGACCCCATTGGGGTCGATGGAGCGGATGCCAAGGAAGATGGCCTGCACGGGGCGCTGCTTCTTCAGCGCTGTCAGGCCCGCCTTGAAGTCATCGTCCGTCACTATTAGGTCCAACCCGTACCTGCCTTGCACGCCACCATGGCACATGTGTGTATGTGTGTGTGGGGTGTGGGGGGTTGAGGGGGTGGGGAGGGAGAGGAGGTGGGGTTCAGCACATGCCGGGATGGAGTATGAACGCATGGGTGGTGCTTGGTGTTATAAAGCTTACAGGGGCCGGGTGGGTGGGGGAAGGGGGGGGAAGGGGAAGGGGAAGGGGAGGGAGAGATTTTATTCTGTTTGCAAAAGAGACGCAGTAAAGGAGGATAAAGGACGGATAGGAAGAACGAGGACTCTTGGAAGATAAAATCAGGAGGTCGGAAATCGCATCCCCTAACCACCGCCATCCTCTCACCATCAAGAGCCTACAAACAGACCCACCGCTCCAGCTCTAGGCACATGAACGCACCTTCATCCCACGTCACATCATCCCCATCACACCGTCCCACGTCATACCATATCATCCCCCTTCCTCTTCCCCTGCCTCCCCCCCCCTTTCCCCAACCCCTGCCCCCTCTCCCCCCTCAAAGAGAAAGAAGAAGAAGAAAAGCATGGCGATCCAGCAGTGCGAGCGTCGTCTCACCGTTGCGACATCTCGATGGTGAACGCGTCCATGGACGGAAACGCGTCCTTATCCCTGAAATAAATCGCGCACAGCCCCGCCATCTCGTCCGAACTCGCCTTCTCTCCCACGCCGTTCTCCGTCTCGCTCTTCTTCTCCGCCGCCCATTCCCCTCCACCTCCTCCGCCCCCCGCTTGCTCCCCGCCGGCTTCCCCTTCTCCGCCTCCGCCTCCCCCGCGGCATCCGTGCTCGCACCCTTCGGAGGGGCATCCGCGGTGGTCCATGCTTCCCGCCAACCCCTCCACGAGCCACCCGGGGAGGTCCGCGCCGTCGTCGCAGTCCCCCTCGCCCGCCTCGTCCGCGCACGTCGAGTCCCGCAGGTCCACACCCTTGGCGCGCGCCGCCACCAGCGCCGCGCGCAGCAGGTGCAGAATTACCTGGTCTCTCAAGAAGGGGAACAAGGAAGTAGGGAGGTGAAGGGAGATGGAGAAAAGAGGAAGGGGAAATGGATTGTCGGAGTGAGTGGTGTTGAGATGTGAGGGCAAGACGAAGGGTTGGTGTGGAGGAAGCTAGGTAAAGCGGGAAATTGGAGCATATGTTCATCGTCATCTTCCTCACACTTAACCCCGTACCCTCCTCTCCCCGTAACCTAATCACATCCACTTCCGTGCACATTTTCTGACGCAAACCTCGCTATTATAATGAGCTTTCTCTGACAACATCAACGGCCGGGCAGTGGTGTTGTGGTCTCTCGCTGGCGTAAGAAAGCTCACCGTGGAATCCTTTCCGCCATTGAAGCTGAAAGCAACTTCCCGCAGCCTGCGGAGCACAAGCACAGTCAGATACAGCGCGACACCAGGAAGTTGAAGTAGAATCACGGAATTAACGAAATGGATACATCACAAGGGTCAAAAGGCGTGTACGGTGTCCAGAAGAGACAAAGCGGGTGGAGGTAGCTCGTTGGCATGATAACGGCCCTAGGGCTTTGGCATAGCTCGCTCCGCTTCGTACCCGTATACGGCGAGCGCCTTAGTGATAATCTTTAGCGATTCCGCCACGCGGTTCTTGAGCTCGTTCGTTCCCGCGCGATCAACGGTTCGGACAATTTCCATTGCATCCAAGATCGGAAACCACGGAAAAAGGAGCCTGTGCACCCGCTGCAACGAGCAGTTCACGTCGATCAGTGACAGATAAACAACAGCTAAGCATCAAGAAACAAGTCCCTGTTAGGAACTTGCGGGGGGGTGTTGACAGCGCAGGATAGTGAGATAGCGAGTCTGAAGCAAGCAAGCCTATAGTGCAAGCCTATAGCGAGTGCTGCGGTAACCCTATGTTCCGCCAGTGGCAGGGCCACGCATTGGCTGCTGCAGCTGCAGGGTGGTTGTGTGCGTGAGGATGCACAGCCCGCCTGAGCATGAGGGCCCTTGTTTGTGTTGTGATGTGACTGGTGTAGGGGCAAGGAGAAAGAGGGGAGGGGAGGGGAGTTTCGACGGGTGGGTCAGTCAGAGAAGTCCCCAAGAGCACCGCACCTGCCATGTGGAAATAGGGAGGATATGGCTGAACGCTGTTTGCGAATCAGCGAATTCACAGCCAGTGTAGGCGAAAGCTTCAAGTTACTTATATTCAGAAACTGATGTAAAAGGTTCACTCTATCATGCAATTTAGCATCACCTTCCCTACCACATTTAGGAAGTGTTCACTAAGGAACACACATGATAATTCGTTTATACGTACATGAATCAAGTTGCTTCCATATTAGTCTATGTGTTTCTTTTGCAATCCCTCCATCGCTCGCTCTATCTATCCATTTTGGTCCCTTACCAGGCTGAGCAAAATAATATGATCCTTCATGATAATGGAATAAGCATGTGTTTATTTGATACTAGTGTATACATTTCCGAGTCGCAACCCTCCAGCACGAAAAGGCAAGGTCCATGCACTACGATACTCCCAATGACAGGTTGACCTGCGCGCACTCCCTTCAGCATGGCGCGCGTCCTGCGCTCGCGCTGCGAACAAACTTACCCCTCGACATAGGAACGTCTATAGTCGAGAGTCGAAAATGCACAAGTTTTTTATGGCGGACACCATCGGAAGAACCTGGTTACACCATTTCGTCCATCTCGTCGTGGAAAGTCGCAATCCCTCGTCATATCATCGAGATCCCAAGACGCCTGTCGCTTGGCTCTGAAGAATGCCGAGTCCGAAACAGAAATTCGATGGGAGGATGTCGTGCGAGTCGCCTGGCGATCCCAAAGAGACGCCCCCTTCTTTGCGTTGCGAGCCAATCCCATCGCGCCACAGCCCCGCCAGCCAATCTCAGACCGCCAGATCTAAGAGCGACTCCACTGGAGAATTCTGGGGCGCCAGGGTGGTAAAATCGAGATTCGATGGTCGGTCAACCTGGTGACTAGAGGGGGCAGAGGAGGGGCTGACTATGGGTGGTAATATACTACTACGAAATTTCCTTGGGAAGTCATCACCTCGAACTTTGACGTTGGTTGCTGAACAAAGGAAACTCCAGTCAGAGCCCCAACCCTCACTTATTCGCCGACTCTGCCGAAAACGGGAAGTATCTTATCCACCCCTTCCTCGTTCAGAGGCGGTAGTGCAATGCTTTTCGTCGAATTCAGCACGACTTCGTAAGCTGCGACCACCGCTTCGAGAGTAATCGTTTGCAGCCGCGACTGTTCTCTACCATCATGGCGTCAGTGAAAACCCCCGACGGTATTTCCAAATCTGCGAGCCGAGGGAAGGCCGCTGGTTTCCTCTCAAAGACTACCGATACCGCTCTGCTTGTTGACATACCTCTCGTCGCAGACACGGACACGTTGAAGAAGGAAGCTACAGGAAAGCGATTCGTTGGGAGGACGATGCTTGTGGGCGTCCTGATTGGCTGCATATTCCTCCTCCTTCACATGCTGCTTCATGGCATCACCCCTCAAGACGTCCGGCATTCGTTCCTGAGAATGGCGACGAGGATGTCCATGGCGAGCTCGCATCAACAAAACTCGGACGGACTGGCTCCCAGCGCGGTGTCGATCAGTGTAACCACTCCAGCGGGAGGCGTTGATACTAGGCGATTGCAACAGAGAGCCGACATGATTTCTCGAAGCACCCTGGCTGTGCCTTCAACGTCAGATTTCGGTCAGCAGCAGAGCACAAGCCAGGAGCAGCATCAACGCCAAGGAGCACAGGTTCAAGAAGTCATTGCTATTGAGGAGGTCGACCATAGCGTGAGGAACTCTGATGCAGAGACTGCCGAGATTTCTGAGAACGGGTTGAAAAGCAACGACGACGTGAAACCTGCAGATTCAAGTGGCGATGAAGCAACGCCTTTGCCGTCGGAGCTTAAGGACGTCCACGTCTTCGTCTCGACAGACGAAGCGGACTTACGCCCGATCGCCGTCGTCATCAACTCAACTATCACGAACACTAGGCGAGTTGCTACGTTCGTGCTACTCAGAACCAGAATTTACGTTGTCACCTACTCACCTAACCCCATTCCAAGCACTCCAGAATTCACAACAACACATCATTTCTCTTATCGTTTTTCTTGGAACCACTCCAGGAACCCGCACCTGGTGTTTTTCCATTTGGTGATACCTGAGGAGAATATCCAGGCGGTCGAAGAAAGGCTTCTGCCCCTTTTCCCTCACGTCCGGATCGACATTAACAGGTATGTCCTTGTCGGTTCAATCACGCGTAATGAGTTTCACGTGCAGTATGCATCACATCCATCACCTGATACGTCCGAAAGGCATACTTAACTGCTCTTCGTCTTTTCATGTGTCATTGCCTTTCTCAGAAAGCCCATTGACCGCGAGCGTATCCAGCACCTCATTGTGTACAAGGAGGGAAGCAAGGCGAGGGAGGAGCTGGTTAGCGTTTTCAATTTCCTGCCATTCTATCTGCCTCTCATCGCTCAGGACCTCGACCGCATTGTGTACCTGGACTCGGACGTTGTTGTTGTGGTACGTACAGCAATGTTCACTGTGCTCTACTCGCTGTCTGTGCGACGCATCCTCTCACAAGCCTTTTCCCTCAGCTGCTTGGTGGTTGCCGCCCTCGCATTTTACCTTTTGGAGCTTACGGTTTACGTAATGCCCTGAATGTATTGCAGGGGGACATTGCGGAATTGGCTCATGTTGACATGGGCGGCATGGCAGCAGCAGCGGTGGAGGACTGCATGCAGACATTCGACCAGTACTTCGATTTTAATCAACTCGCCGAGATCCATGCACGGAAGAAACCTGACCAGCCGCGGATGCCTAAATTCCCTTTTGATAAGACAGCATGTGTCTTTAACAGAGGAGTGCTGGTTATGGATGTGCAGCAGTGGCTAGCTCAGAACATGACCGAATCCATTGAGTGGTGGATGCAGCAGCACAATGATGCCAAAGAGCCTTTGTACCGGTAAGAGTATGCCTCATCTTCTCCTGCTGAAACATCCTCGTCCTTCTTTCGACGTTTGCACTTCTTAAATCCTCTCACCATCCTTAAAACTTATTTTCCTACCCACCATCCCTCAGCTACGGGTTATCTCAACCACCCTTTCTCCTCGCCCTGTATGACCGCTACTGCAAGCTGAAGCGGGAGTGGAATACACGGGGTTTGGGTCGGGAAAAGTTTGGAAAGAAGGAACTGGCATACTTCGAGCGTATGGGGCTCGGAAAGCCCAACAAGACCCCCTTCCTTAGCCCGTGGGCTAATGAAGCGAAGATTCTCCACTTCAATGGCAAGTTCAAGCCTTGGAAGGGACCCCGGGTGAGGCCAGTTGGCGAGCCTGCGAATGCTCTTTGCGGTCCTAAGGAAGAGGACTGTGCAGTGCGGTGGTGGAAGTATTTGTCGCCCGAAGCCTTCACCCAGCTGACAGCAGGAAGCAAGCAAAAACGCTGAAGAGAGGAAATTACGGGATGGGGGGATTTTAAAAGGTGCTGTGAATAGCAAAGAGACGTCCAACCTCAATTTGCTCTCTTTCTTTTCGAACCATAGCAACTACCCTGGTGCTGATTCATGTGCTAGGTGAGTACTATGGTTATCATACTAAATAAGCCTAGTTGAGATTGCGAAGCTCTGCTGCAACAACAGATGTGACACCAAGTTATTACAGACAAATGCTTTGTTTTCCGTCTGAATCAATTCTAAAGTGAGTAAATGACAGCAGTGCTGTCTGATTGAAGGGCAGTAACAATCTATAATAAATGAAACAGCCTTAACAGCGAGTCCTACATCCCATCATTCTTCTTGGAGCCGTTCTTGGATAAGGGAACAGCAACCAGTTGTAAGTGCCCACACCAACTGGTGGCAAGGCTGAGACTGCTTTGCCACCTTGTTCACAACTTTTCATGGCTGTAGCATTTCCTCCAAACCTCCTGCCATGCGCCATCCTCTTTATCCTCCACTTGCCAAAATCATGCCAAAATCCCTCTGGCCGTGGCAGATCCTCCGTCCTCTCTACTACTGCCCAGGTGCAAGCGTTGGGACGCTCACATGAGGCAGCTTGGCCACTTCTCCAAACTTGGGGTTGCTGTACTTCTTGTAAACGGCAGTTAGATTCCCTCTGCCCGCCTTGTGCTGCAGCTCTGCCATCATCCTCACGCATGGCTGTAGGTCCGCCTCCGTGTATCCAGTGTGAAAAACCATCACAGGACACCAGAATGGTCGGCTCACATTGCTGCTGATGCTGCTGCTGCTGCTGGTGCTCGTGCTGGTGCTGGTGCTGATACTCCTACACAGGCTGAGACTGGTGGCGCTAGCAGCAACACTGGTAGCTGGAGATTGGCCGTCTGTAACAGCAACTGAGACAGAGACTGGGACAGCAACTGGCAGCGCATTGTTAGACTGCTGGCTGCTGCCGCTACTTGAGCTTGCAACAGGAACAACAGATCCAGTAGCAGTAGCAGAGGCAGCAGCAGCGGCAGTACTGCTGCAACCAACGCCGCTTTGCTGTGACATGAGATGCTGCGATCGGGCGAGCATGGCCGTGTACACAGCTGCTGCCGCCAGATGCGACGGGGAGAACTTCAGCATGCTGTACTCAGGCAGGCTCAGCTCCAGCAGAAACCACGCCAGACTCTGCATCACCTTCTCCGCTCCTGCTCCTGCCGCCGTCGCTCCCGCCGTGCCTGCCGTCGTTGCCTCCCCGGCGCCTCCCGCCGCCGCTCCCCCCGCCGCCCTTGCTGACGCCGCCGCCGCTTTCAGAAACCGCGACGCGAACATGTACGGCGTGGGAACCGTGAGCTGGAACCGCAGCGCGTTCAACATATCCTTCTCCAACGCAATCACCTCCGCGCGGCTGTACGCGTTATCCGATATGTACACGAAATCGCGCACCTCGGGCGCCCAGATCTCCTCGTACTTGGACGCGATGAGCATGGCGGTCACACCCACGAGCTGCAGGTTGCGCCGGCGCACGGGCGCGAGGGACAGGTAACGGTCGATGAGGTTGGCGGTGAGGAAGAGCGTTTCCGGCATGAGCTTGAACTTGAGATGGACCTCGATCAGCCAGTCGAGGAGAATGGCGCGCATCTTGTCGTTGATGTCCGCCTGCTGGCTCATGTAGCTCTCCGCCGCCATCGTCTCCCTCTGCATTTGCGCGCACGGGGGAGAAAAAGGGGGAATTCCGGGGAAAAAAGGGCGGATGTGTTGTGGTGAGGGAAGTAACCAGGGAAAGAAGCTTAAAACATCGATAGCTGATTGGCTGAGTACCATCAGTGAGGCGCACGCTTCCGCCTTCCCGCAAACTTTCCGTCTCGGCCCCCAGTAGCACTTACTACCACTACCACCCCCACGACCAGCAGCAGCAGCGCGGCTCACCTCCATGCGGCGGTACAGCGCGTAGATGTCGCGCACGTACGCCGTGGCGGCGAGCGGGTTGCGCCGGTCCTCCCAGTCGATATCCATCACCGCCGGCACCTCCGCATCCATCAGATCAACTCCGCCGCCCCCCCCGGTTCCTCCTCCGCCTCCGCACGCCTCCTCACTGCACGCCGTCAGACTCGCCGTCATCGTCATCGTCAGCATCGGCACTCCCTCCTCCTCGCTCTCCCGCCTCTCCCGCTCTTCCCGATCACCCACCTTCCGTCCGCCGCAATTCCCTCCCCGCCCTGTCCCCGCTTTCGCGGCGGCAGCTTCCGCTGAAGGCCTTGCGCGCTCTGCGCCAGCCACAACGGTCTGCTCGGTTGCGGCGCTGGTGGAAGCGGTAGACGCGGCGAGAAGCACGGGGACATCGACGGTGGCGGCGGTAACACTGTTGGCGGCCGACGCGCAGGCCTCACGGGCGCCCTTGCCCAATTGAGCCGGTGCAGCGGCAGTTGCGGTAACGACGGAGGCGGCAGCGGCGGCGGCGGAGGTCAGGGGCTTCCTGCGCACGTGGAGAAATGAGTCCAGCAGTAGCGATGAGATGATAGATCAGCTGTCTGGCTCAAGGAGAGAGTGAGAGTGCAAACACGGCTCAGCAGCGGGAGGAATAGGCCCAGCGGGAGCAGCATGAGCAGCGGGAGGAATACGCAACGCTTGCAGACGGCATGCACCATCCGCCAAATCCCTCCGAGACCTTTCCTTATCCTTCTCGAGCCCCATCTCGCCCGCGTTCCCCTTACCCGTCTTTCCCGGCAGCGGTGGCGGCGGCGGCGGCGGCAGTGAGCTCCACCAGGTTGCCCACCTCGGCCAGCACTCGGCGACTCGAGAACGACCGCGCTCCCGCCGGCGCCGCAAGCGCGCTAGGCGCCGGTGCGCCAGGTGCGACAAGAACTGGCGCTGGTGTAGTATGGGGAAGGGCAGAGAGGAAACCACGCGTCGTTGAGATGTGACGGGAGAGGCAGAATAAGGGTTTGGCATAATGGTGTTGAGACGGGAGCTTCAGAAACTTCTCGCAAGGAGATCTCTTGGGGGAGTGAAACGCGGTGATGGTGAGGCACGTCGGATGTCCTAGTGCATGGAAACGAGTAGGGAATGGCTGTGGGAAACAGCGGAGCTCAATTACGAGTCTTCTTCTGTTTAACTCATCCGTTACGGCTGCGTCGTTGGCGGATCCAGATTCGACTCCTCTTCGACGCGTCACCATCGGCATGCCCACCACGTCCTTCCGGACTGATTTTACTCCTTCCAGGCGCCTCAAGAATGGGTGTCTCAGCTAGGTCTACCTTATATCGTGGCTGCAGCCGCGGTCAAGCGTACCTTTCCTCGCGACGGCTTGTGACTGCTGGTTTTCGTCTGCCATGGCTGCTGGGTGCAGTGGCGCGCTCCGGCGGCGGTTTGGAACGATTGGCCAGCGAAACGGACGAGGAACGTGTGAGAATAAGGGGGTGTGTGTATGGTCTGTGTACGACTCGTACGCCACGTGTCGGGAGGGATTATTCTCGGCTCACCGCGCCAAACGCGGGTACGGGCGAGGATGGCAAGAGGTGTTCCGTCGCGGATGCGCTGCGGCTTAGTGGAAACGCATGGGGAGCCGTGGATTCGGCAGGGAGTCCTTGAAGTGACGCGAGGAGATGGCGAGGCAGGGAGGGAGGGTGTGGAGCGGAACCGCTTGGTAGAGAGTATGACGAGATCGCACGGCTGTTGCAGCTGCGGCCATGCAGCGATGCGAATACTGCGAGCTTAGGATGGACGGCTAGCCTAGTGTACGTTCTCGAGTGGGCCAGTCGCGATCTCTGGCTTCTGCAACAAAAGAAGAAGGGTTGCTCCTAGCGAATGAGTCTAGATGGTGGCTGATTCTGACGGAAATTAGTTGATCCAGCAATTCTGGATTGGACTAATGTGTGAAGTTCTCCAGGGCAATTTGAGAGAGCTAGTTATTGGCGGCGTAAGTGCGTGGTACGCCCTAGATACTTGGTCCGAGACTCCCAGGTGCTGCCTTGATCGAGAATGTGTCACCACCTACCAACGGGATGAATGTTTTTTCTCTGATGACGGCCAAATATTTTACACCAGCGCCCCGGTCGCCTCGCGCCAGCATCAGTGTCTGGTCACAGTTTTGCGTAACGCATGGTCTCCTTTTTTCCGCATCTGCTTCTCCAGTACTAGCTGAAGTGAGGCTTGGCTGTGGAGTTTGTTCGGGCGCATACACCACATTCCCTTCCCACACCACGCACAAAGGCTCGACCTTCTGGCATCTCTTTGTATGGTAGCAAGTGGATGTACGCAGTGGCTGGTCTGCTCTGGTGTATGGAATTTGGTTCGAGTTCGAGACAAGGCGAAGCGGTGAACCAGCTCCTCCTGTCGTAGCTTGTCTTGATGAGCCCGCGCCAGAACGAAATTCAAATGCGAAACAGAGTGACGCGCGCCAGCACGCAGCGCATGTTCCCGCAGCGCTAACGCGGGAAAATGCTGGTTCGGGACACCAGATGGAGAATCGACGGTCCGTTTTTGAAATATGTTTCTGGTTTTGAGTGCTTGCGACGCGGTTATGGAAGCAGGGGAGGTTCGGGCACCCTAACCGTGGCTCGGAAGGTTGGTGCGATTTCTGTTTTTGGGTAATTTCGAAAGCAGGGCAAACAGCAAAACAGCATACTTTGGCTTTTGCAGTCTGGCACCAATGCGAATCCACTCCACTCAGGCCCCTTGGGCAGCAGAGGGAAATCTGCTCCACAAAATGCCCGAACACATGAGAACATGTCTGACGAAACGAAAGCCGAGCCTACCACACCCACTCGACATCCCTAACAAAGAGCACTTCGATTCCAATAATGTGACCTACGTGCCGGTATGGCATTCTAGTAGGTATATTGTTTTTGTAATCCCATTTTCATTCCAGAAGGCAAATTGTTTTAGCCCACCATATAACAAATATTTTTTTAACTTCAATAAATTCTAATAGTTTTACAAAAGCCATATGCTATATATAAGAACTGCACAGACCTCTTCATCATTACTTAAAAAGTGTTTGTTTTAGTTTTTAGAGCAAAAAAAAAAAACTCTTGATATAAAATCTGCAAGGTATTGCTGTAATATGACATGACATTTTCGAACGCTCAAATCTCGGGTCCAAAGTTTTTGTTGCTTATCATTTCACCAATTATAGTTATTCAGCATTTAATATGTCAGATCAGATGACTTGAATATGGATGTATGTTTATGCAAGACCGAATTGATCCATGCTTCTTACGTCTCTTGACCGAGTGTGCATGCGTGACCAGATTTGTGCATTTCACGTGAAACGGAAGCGTTCCTTCTTTTAGCGAGGAAATATCCAACGCCTCGCTTGGCGGTGAGCATCTACATTTGAGCATGGTTTTTGCGCCGCGAACTTCCCAAACCCAAGGTGAACAAGGCTTTTTTAGCATACCTATTTGTGTGAGTGTCCATTCCCAACAGAAGCTAGGCAACGTTTGCGCATCAACCTCGACACCATGGCGGATGTTGGGTGGGAAGGATGGGTTACCCTTAGTCTGATATTTCTGATGTTGGTGCTCCTGGTCGCGGAAGTAGCTCCTCCGTACATGGTAATGATGGGAATTCTTATCATTTTTATTCCACTTCAAATATTGGACGTGGAAAAGGCCTTTCACGGTTTCTCGGATCCAGCAATGCTATCAATAGCAGTGCTTTTCATTGTGGCCAAAGGTATGATATGACGATTTGTTCTCGCTGTTTTCTTGACACCCAAGATAAACTTGTTCCTATCGTGCAGGCATTGAGACGTCTGGAGGACTGGAGTATGTTTCCAAGTTTCTATTCAGCACCAAATCTGGGAAGAAGTCCAAGTCATTCCTCGTTAGAGGCAGCGAAAACAGTATCGTCTGGGTCCTTCTGAAGTTCACCGTGCCAGTTGCCCTCTTCAGCGCGTTTCTTGCCAATATTCCTCTTGTCGCTATGATGATACCACCAATTGTGGAGTTCTCCAAGAAGGTCAGACATACTTACTGCTTGCCTAACAATTACACAAACCGTTTGGATTAACTTATGGAACTCCTGATTACAGGTGAACATTTCGCCCTCCAAGATGCTGATTCCGCTGAGCTACGCTGCACTGCTTGGAGGAACCTTGACCTTAATTGGTGCATCAACCAACTTGATGGTCACCTCAATGGCTGCGAAGAAACTCCCAGAGTTGACCATGAACATATTCGAAATTGGAATTGTGGGGGTTCCCACAACAGTTGCCGGAATATTGTACTTGCTAGCATTCTCGGGGAAGTTATTGCCTGACAGGCTGGCCATGCAAGCCACTAACATCAACGCCAGGTATGGACTCTTCCGTCTCTCGGTGTCGTCTAAGTAGTACCCAGCAGTTAAATGTCCAGCCTTGTTTCCTGTATGTTTCCTTGTTAATGACACCAACGTTGTCGTGTTTCAGGGAATATACTGTTGTTTTAGTTGTGAAGCCCTCCTCCTCCCTTTGTCGAAAGAGCGTGGAGCAGACAGGCGTGCAAAATCAGCCTGGATTGCAGCTGCTTCATGTGGACCGTGACGGGGTTGTTACTTCAGACCCACCATCTGACTTCATTGTTCAGGCAAAAGACAAGCTTCATTTCTGTGGCGTCATCGACTCCATTCTCTCATTGACGCAGCTTGATGGATTAGCGCTGTCCGAAGATGAGGTACACGTGATTTGAGGTCGCTTGATCACGGAGGCTTTTGTGACTAACAAGCTTACTGTGTAAGTGCAGGGTCAAGAGCAAGTTGACCTCAACAAACTCCGGCCAAATCAATTTCTGGTCGAGGCTGTTGTTGCAAGTAAGTCACCAATGGTGCACAAGAGGGTTGCAGACTTGCAGCTCAGGACGCGGTACAAAGCTGCAATTGTTGCAGTTCATCGCTATGGGACAAGGCTGAACAGGTATGGTCAGTCAGTTCAGACTTGTATGCATCCAGTGTCACACATAAGCCTTGCGTTCATAACCGTTTTTGTTGCAGTGCAATTGGCGACATTGTATTGGAAGCGGGCGACTCTTTGCTGTTGGTGGCTGACGGGAGTGAGTTTGTGTGCAAACACCGGAACAACTCTACTTTTGCCCTCGTTTCTAAGGTAAGACTTGGGGAAATGTGTTCCGACATTGCTTGCTGATTTAGATGTTGATCCGCTGGTTTTTATTGCAGCTTCCTGGTTTTACGCCAGTACAGCGCCAAAAGGCAGGGATAGCTGCAATATTTGTGCTGACCATGGTTGTTGCAAGCGCATTTCCGAGCGTTCCTCTGATAACTGCTGCCCTATTCACATCAGCGGCACTTATGTTGTCCGGAAGCATGACGTCACGAGATGCAATGGTATGTCGAGCGAGCTATGAAGGGTTTGCAAATTATGGGCCATTATGGGCCAAGATGCCATTCATGCTTCATGTACAGGAGTCGCTGGAACTTCCAGTTTTGATCATGATTGCTGCTGCATTTGGAATATCGGAAGCTCTGGTTCAAAGTGGTGCAGCAGACCTTGTTGCTCAGGTCTTGATGGGCTTATCCGGTGGGACACAGGTATGGATGTGACTTTCAAGCAATCGTTGCATCATGTGTTTGGCAATCATCTAACCCACGATTGGCTTTCAGATTGGCCTGCTAACCTGCACTTATGTGGCAACGACGGTTTTCTCTCTGGCTATTACAAACAACGCCGCAGTGACAATTATGTTCCCAGTAGCACTTGCGGCCGCACAACAGCAGGGCCTAGATTTTAGGCCATTTGCGTACATCCTAATGATGGCTTCTTCTGCGGGCCTCATGACTCCCACTGGTTGCGCTACAAACATTATGGTTTACAACCCTGGAGGTTACAAGTTCGTTGATTACATTGCATTTGGAGGGCCTCTGCAGGTGAGACACTTGCCAAATGCCTAGCACAGGCAGCTGTATCATGACCCTGGCTGACAAAAACATTCTTCCTGCTTGGCAGATTGTGCTTCTGATTGTGACTGTTGGCGTGACCCTGACGTTGAGGTTTTGGTGGATATGGTGGATTGTGCTCATTGGTGCTACTGTCTTGCTCACACCAATTCTTGCACGCCAGGTGAGTCTTGCAGAGCTGTTTTTTTTTCTGTTTCTGCCAAACACTGCTCAATTACTGCCCTGCTGCAGAGCTGGAACCTCCCACACAATTCACGTGTGTTTCATGATGATGCACCTGAAGTACCACTCTCAAGCATTACGGAACATGAACCGGCTACAATCTCAGTGACAACGGAGGGAGGTGTGAGGAACTCTATTGCAGCAGATTCGTTATCACCAACTTATAGGCGCTCTTCTGTAGGTGTAGAGAAGTCTATCCCTAGCCAATTTATTTAAAGTGGATAAGGAAGTCAAAATGATGTATGCTGAACATTATGAACAGTTTTGGTTGTCGTCCCGCACAATCTGCTCCCGCAAATTTTCTGTCCAACTAAGTCGCACTAAAACGCAATAACAGTGAGAGCCCAGGGTACACCCTTCAAAGTTCAGCGGTTCGAGTTTTCCACAGTATCACATCCTCCTGCAGGAGTGGAAGCTTGATGTATGACCTTTAGATCTAACCGTCGCTTAGAATGGCCGAGTGGCTCTCCAACATCGTACAGCAACTCTCGCCTCGAGAAGAATCACGCCCCCCATTTGGATCTCCAAAGAGTAGTCGCCGGCAACCAGCGCCCGCCTCAAAGGCTCGCGCAAATACCGTGATAAGTTCGAATCAGAAGAACACTTCCAGGACAATGGCCTCCGCCGTGGCCAAGGTTGAAACGCCAGAGACTTCAGTGGCCTCAGAAACGCCTTCACTTGAATTGCAATTCCAGGCGCGCAGCAAAGAATTGTTGCAAGAACACCCAAATCTGGTGCCTTTGAGCGACGGCGGCCAACCTAACTCGGATGGCGAATATGGGAAAGCGGATGCAGACGCTACGAGTTCCAGCCCGGTAGCGTTGGTAAAACCAGGAGATTCGGTAGGAGGGTTGGTGTCCGGCGTAGAGGGTGTCAAGGCAACGACAGGCACTTCCCCCACTGAAGCAACAGCAGCAGGAACGTTGGCGGGATCTCCTAAATTTGCAGCTGACATGATGCAGAACGCCCGGTCCGCAGTTTCTTCTGGGCCTCAAGGCAGCGCCGTCACCTGCAATGGGAACAGCAAGGCTGAGAGCAGCGGGAACAGTGGTGGGAGCAGGGGCTCCGAGGACGAGAATACACGAAAGAGCCCTACGAACACCAGCACGACAGACCGCACTAAAGGTCCAGCCAGCCCCACAAAGAGGAGAACCCTTCCAGTACTCCCGGCTTCAAAAAATGAACCGGGTGAAACCAGTGCAGGTTCTAGTCGGCAGGACGAGAATAACAACAAGCAATCTAAGCGAGGCACCGGTTCAGGTAACAACGGCGGGACGAGTGACACGGGAAATTCGTCAGCGGAGGATTCCCGTACCGCTGTTGCAGGCGGTTCAAGCCCAAGGGAGTCGATTTCACACAATACCGCTGAAGAGGTGCTGGTGCCAGTGGCTGGCATGGTTGGAGGAGAGTTGGCAGCGATGATCAGCAGCACGAGGGCTTGTGTGTACGAGGCCACGGAGTTCTTTGTGGCGTGGCAAGGCGTGCTCACGGTGGCTTATTCAGGGATTCCTCCCGCTCTTTGTGAGGTACGATGAGGTAACGGACCTTGACGAATCGGAAGATTTTGGGATATGGTGGGCGCTCGAAAGGCTTGCACTTGCTTTCTTTCAGCCCATTTTTTTGCACCCATCATAGTAGTGTTTTAATGTCAACGGCTGTGTTGTTCCCATGCCCTATCCTCCTCTTGTGCAGCTGAAAGATCGCATGGGAGGAGCATTGCAAAGTATGGTACCTGAGAATCCTGGCTCGCGATGGCCGAAGACCACCCTGGCGTGTCTGCGGGACGACCAGAGGCTCACACCTGAGCAGCTATCCACCCTGAGGGATATCTGCAGGTCAGTACCTATGCTTTCTCAAGTGTAAATTTTGAAAGGAATGGTTAAAAGATGGAGCTTGGAGTTTTGTCGCACCACAGTCAGCTTTTTGTTGTATTGTGCTGTGCTACAATCAACCCACCTCGTCTCTTTTGCTGCGTCCTTCTCATCCCAACCCACTCCAGCACAATGAGCTTTCAGCTGGCCCTCGCCCCGCCTGTGGTTGTGGACACCCTCTCTGTGGTGCTCTACGAGAACTGCTGCCTGGAGAAGCTGATCACTGCCACCCACATTCCCTTGCAGCATCCTGTAGACCCTTCACCCCCGTCGCTCGAGCAGCGGCAGTACGTCCGTGGTGTGGTGGACGAATTTGGCTCCAAGAACCTTGCAAAATACTGGCTGCATGCCTCTAAAGATGGTGAGACCGGAACGAAGATAGAAGGAGGAATTACGGTTGGAAGATATAGGGACGGTTTAAATAGAAAAGGGTGTTTCTTCATTCTTGTCGATCCTAGCCTGTTCTCCTTGCTGCCGCCTCAGTCCTCCCATCAGTTCCTCCCTGCTATTCCTCACCCCACTTGCCCTGCTCCACCAGGCAATCGATCGAGCCACTACCGCAAGCCCAAGATGGGAGCCACAGTGGTTCACTTTCTGGCTCCCCACGAGGTGCCTGCAGCTCTTTCTGTCTTCAGGCGCCTGGTTGACACTGCCCTACCAGGCCTTTATGAGTGGTTCTCGGATGACTCCCTACATATCACTCTCCGTGCCCTTTGTTGAACGGTGGGTGCATACATGTTGAAAGCGCCTGCCCATCTTTGCTTCGTCTCATAACCTCTTTTTGACCCTGCTCTCCACCCCCTTCTCGCATCCCTGATCGCTCTTCCTCTCCCTTTTCCAGTAAGGCGTTTTCCTTGTCACGCTTTTTCGTGTGTCATGCACATGTTGTTGGTGTGCTTGCTGTTGGGAATAATAAGTCTTAAGCGCCTCTGTCGTGTCGAAACTCAGGACACTAGCGAAGCAGTCCGAATCGAAGCATCGCGAGTCAACCCTCGGAGGTTAGGGTAACCGCCTGGAGGTTACGAGAAGGTCAAAGGTCAGCGACCTTTGACTTGACAAATACAGCGCGACAGCAAGGACACACAACTGACTCGACATTGAGCAGTTGCCCGAGTCGCACTGTATCGAATCGCACCAGTAAAACGGTTTTAACTTATCTATTCGTATTCCTTGTACTCTTATATAAACCTTTGTATTTGCTTGTTTAATTAACTTACTTTGCCCTCACATACTAGCGCAAGGTGGTTCAAGTACTTTCATTCAAACGCTTCCGCTACTACAATTCTACTCAGACTTAAAACTCTACAAAGATCCTAGGGCACTTCAGCCCAACATGGTATGAGAGCAGTTAGAGTTTTAAAGTTGTTTTCCTTTTTAACACTCAATACAAGAAGACATGTCTGCAAGGAAGGAGAGGAGCTCCTCCAACGGCTCTCCAGGCACTACTCCTACTCCACCTCCTGTCTCTGGTCTACAGACAGAGGAAGGGACTACCACGAGACCAGCAGCTGGGTCTACGGAAACGCCCGCAGGCTTCGATCCAAGCATGATGGAAAAGTTCTTCTCCTTCATGTCCTTCTACGAGCAGCACCAGCAAGGAGCACCTGCGCAATCAAACAACAGCAACAACAACAACAACGTGACGCCTATGAGTCTCGATGGCTCATCCTACGCACGCGGGATTCAACAACAACAACAACAACAACAGCCTACCTTTGCGCCATACGAGCCCAGGGCCCAAAATTGGTTTTACCCTACCCTTACCAATCAGGGTAACCCCCCCTCCTTGAACGGACCCCTAGGGTAAAATTTTTCGTACCCTGTTTTCAGCAGGGTAACTCATCACATAGCCTGATTTGAGCAGGGTACTTTTTGCGGAATCCTGATTTAGCAGGGTAGTTGTATCCTAATCCTGTTTAGATAGCCAGAATGCGCACTAAGTGTTGTTTATGAGCATAATATCACATCACACACAGAATCCATTCACTCTACATAAGCCACTGATACACTACACTACACACCTACACAGATGCACACCCGCTGGCAACATTCTCTACAAACTGTGTCTGAGATGCTCTCGTGGGGTCAAACTCCCTTGTGGATCGCCTCAGCTTCTCTCCACGGAAGATAGCGACCACCTCAAACCAGTCAACATCGTAGCGCAGCAGGGAGCAGCGCATCAGATGCTCCAGGCTTGTGTCGCCAAGGCTGCCACGGCCCCAAGTCTTGATCAGGTTCTGCTTCGAGAAGCCCCGCTCACACTCAACCGTACTCAACGGCAGGACGGCCACTGACTGCCAAAGCCGCATGATGTTCGGGAATGAGACTCGCCACGCGTCATCCCGCAGCATGTTGGTCAGCGCCTGGTGGAATTCCTCGTTGTTGTGCTGGGCGAACATTGTGGATGTGAACATCCACAGCTCCTGCTGGGCTGCCTTGTAGTTGAACCCTGTGGTGGGGCGGATTGCGGGTGATAGCTAAGCCGATGCTCAGAGACACGGGTAGGGGGAGGGGGCATTAGTCCAACAAGCCAGGGTATGCAGAATGTGCAATGGTCAACCGATGTGCAGGCATACGAGCATCAACAATGTGACAACACGTGCAAGCGCAACTGACGGCTCACCAGGCAGTCTGTGGTGGTACAGCTTGTGCAGCTGGCCGAGCCACTTCTTGAAGGTTTCGTGCCGCTTCGTCTCGTCGGACACGTACGAGGCTGTGCGGAAAAGCTTCGAGCCTTCCAGAAGCTCGAGGTCTCGCATCCGCCACTCCAGCTCCTTGTCAATGGCGCGCACGTACTTGATCGCCAGCTCGACGCACGCCGTAACATCACCATCAGTCTCGTGATCGGGCAGCGGGCGCTCGTGCAGCGTGAACTCAAACGTGACGGGATTCCCGTCCCCGTCTACGCCCTCCGCCTTCATCTCGCGCTTGTCTGTCTTCCCGTGGTTTCTAATGAACTCGGGAAGCTGCATCTTCTCCCCGCTGCCGAACTGATGATTCGGGTCGCAGAGTGAATACCGCGTCTTCAGACGCAGCCTTGTCTGCTGCACGATGTGCGCAACAAGGGTGACGTCCACCTGCATGTCGGGATAGGAACAATGTCGTTAGTATTCATGCTTGTAGGCGTCAACACAAGCCACCAATAGAGACGCGTACCTGGCGCTGCTGGAATCGGAGGTTGAGGCTGTTCAACTCCCACAGCACATCCGCTAGAAATCGGATGAGAAAGTGGAACTTGAACGAGGTTACCACCTCGTACAACTCCTTCTTGAAGTCCTTCAAGACCACTATGGCCGCAGGTAGGACGTCTAGCAGGCGCTGTATCGCTTCTCCGCGGGCGAGCCAGCGTGTGTCGCTAATCCCCTGCGCCTCGAGATTCGTCTGGCAGAAAATCCTCTGCATCTCCTGGAACTTCGCGTAGTCCACGCTGCTACGGCCGATGTGGTCAGCGAAGGCGCGCACGACGTCGTCTATCATCAGCAGGTCAGGAACCTCTTCTGCAGCATCACTGGCAGCGAGTGCCTCCCTGAACACACTCACGAAACAACACAGAATGTTAGTCAACTGAGTTATACACATATACCAGGAGCACATAACACACAACTCAGACACTCACCTATGAGCAATACAATGGGTGGAGGCGAGATGCGGGATACGCACACGAAGGCGTGTCACCACACCCCGGTTCTTGCCGACCATCACGCTGGCACCATCGGAGGCGACGCTGGATATCTTCATGAGGTCAACTCCGATACCTGTCAGGTACTGCACGACAGCAGATGTGATTGATGCACCGTCACAGCGTTCAAGAGTTATTAAAGTCAGGAATTCCGTGACGACCGTCTTGTGCTGAAAGAACGTGGCGTAGAGTATGAGATGTTTCCCGTTCACCCGGTCCGTGCTCTCATCGAGCTGAATCCCTATCCATGGGGAGTCGAGTAGGTGATGGCGCTGTGTCTCTTGGAGGTATGTTGACAGAGCGCGCAGGTTTTCTTTAAAACCGTAACTGCCAAGGGGCAAGAGAGGTGGTCAGATCACCATGTTTGTACAGATAAACACATCTGGTGCGCCCAAAACAACAAACCTCTTACTCAGTGTAGTACGCGCCGTAGCCGCCACCGGGTGGGAGGTCTGGTAACCCCTCCTTCGCCAAAAACCAACACAGAGGGACGAACATCGCTATGGGAGCGTCGGCCTTACAGACAAAATGCGCGATGTGGAGGAGCCGAATGAGGTGACGAGTGGATGCGTCCGTGGCCTGCCAGCGAGATATAGAAGCCTGCTTCGCCTTCTCCGCCTCCGACTTCTCTTGGTTCTCCAACGCCTGCTTGTGTGCACGGGATGCGGTGTGGGTGCGGATGCTGCCAATCTGGAGATCCCGCGCTCCCTCACCCCTCGGCCCGTAAGCGGTGTGCGCTAACGGGTCTCCATGCTTCACACAAATAGCGCACTTCAGAGAGGGACGGCCGTTAGACATGCGCAATAAACGTAACCACGAGAAGCTACCTGCCCACTGGCCCTCAAAGGTCTTCTTGACAGCCTCATACTCAGCATCCGCCAGAGCGGTGGGTGGCTTCGGATCGGCAGAAGGAGCAGCTCGCTTGTGGGGAGTAGCGTTTGGGGGAGGAGGGGCGCCCCATAGCGTCTGCTGCTTGTACGTTGTTCCCACACGCGGTCGCTTCACGGGAGCGGTGCTGATAGTAGACGGCGAAGCAGTGGGCGGCTTTGACGAGCCCTCGCCGCCGCCGGGAACCAACTCAATGTCTGGATGTGGCTCCCACGCCGTCGGGGACAAAGGAGGCTCGAACGGATAAACCGTTCCTACCACTACTTCTGGAGACAGCTCTCGACGCGGCGAATGCGCGATGGGTACGACGTACCTCTCGCTGAGGCGTGGAAGAACTCCCAGCACAGAGAGTCCATTCCTCGCGCCTTCTGGTGGATCGGGCTCTTCAGTGAGCATGGTGTAGCTGGAAAGTTGACAGGCGTTCGCCAAGAGACAGACCCCCTCGTAGAGAAAGAGTCTCTGGCTAACTGTCGGGGGCCGTGCATTGCATGCGGCAGGGAGAGCAGGGCCAGCAAGGCGGGACTGCCATCGCAAATTGCAGTCACGGACAGCTTGAAACTGTCCTTGACAGCGAAGCCTGCTGTGGTGGCGGTGGGCGTGGCTGTAGGTGGCAAGATTCGGTAAAGACGAGGCAGTCCTACGGTAGTAACGACACAATGGGCAACATGGCGCGTTTCTGACAGCGAAGCAAGTGTCGCTACGCGTGTTCACAAGCGACTAGTGGTGTCGGTGGGGGTGTTGTACATTTCGTCACCACGCGGATTGTTGGCAGATTCGCGCTAAGGTAAACTCGGTAAAAGGGTAACGTACAGCCAACCCTGATTCCATCAGGCTAAGTAAAAATCCTATTAGGGTAAAAAAAAACCTGTTCTTTTGAGAGAAGGGTAACTATGGGGCATTCCTGATTTTGGCAGGGTAATCCTGAAAAAACGGCCGGTTGCCAGGGTAATCAGGGCGTTTTACCCTGATATTTTGGGGGCTGATGGACAGTATACCAGTGCCTAACATTGCATGGTTACTACCTCTGCAGGTTATTGTACAGAAATATTTGCTTCAGTATAAGTGGTTCCGAGACAGTGAATTATTCAGCTGCGATGAACTCGGTAGCAACTGATGCAGCATAAAGAATATTACATGTATGTTTAACCTTGCA